AGGGCTGGGCCATACCCGTGCCACAGTGTGGCCAGTGGAGACACCAGCACTGCCACCACCAGAGCTTGCAAACGAGAGCTGAAGGGGAGAGGTCTGGGGCTACAGATCCCCCGGCCCGGCTCCCCCTCCAGCTCAGGGCCTGCACCTGCCGGGCTGGGACCCGTTCCCTCCACCTCGTTGTCTTTGTCAGCAAACAGGTGGCTTGTGAGCTATTGTGAGGACATGTGCCCAAGGGCCTTATACTGGTGGGTGACACTCTGACAGATGGATTCCTTTTCCCCTTGTTTTTGTTAAATAGCTGGGCTTATTTAAGCACCATGTGAAATTCACTAAGTAAATGGTGAAAAAGGATGGAGGTTATTTGTTAGAGAGGAAAATGCGGCCCTTCAAGGACTTGAGAGGAAGCCCGGCCATGCATTGCACGACGCTGGGCTGCCTACACAGCATGCCCCTGGAGACATCCCGGCTGTCTTGGCTTGAGTAAGTCCCCAGCAGTGTCTCCTGATGGTGCGTTTCTCAGGACACGTCCCTGTTGTTGAGAGACACGATTGTATTTCAAGTATTAGGTGTGTTGAAAAGAGATTTCTGAATCCTCTCAGAGATGGTTCAGGAGGATCACGTGTCAGAATTTCCTCTGGAAGAACAAGCTCTAGACATTGGTAGACATTAGTGAGAGGTTGGTGTAATGAACCTTATCTCAGAGAAGCCAGCCAGACCGGGCCTGGGCCTGTTGTCAGGGTGTTGAAACTACCAAGCCAGTGTCCTGTCTCCATCTGGCTGTGGACCGTTGGCGTTCGCTGCTCTTTAACACGATTCCCTCCCTTTCCAGCCCCCTTCCTTCTTTCTCCCCTGTGTGCTCTCCTCTTCCTCATCTTGCGTCTGCATCAGGGATGCACAGAAGGCCCAGAACCTCACCTGGTCCTTCCAGACGTGGGGATGTGGATGCATTTTCACAGGCTGCAGGTGATTCTGAAGTACACAGGCCCTTGAGCACCTGGTCTCTGGTGGAAGTGCCTGGCCTCCCCGCTGCTCTGTGGGCAAAGTGTCCACAGTTATATTGAAGGCTGATGCTGGGGATGATGGGGCAGAGGGTGGGCATAAAAGGCCCATGATAATGCAGGCCTGCTCTTTCAGTCATGGGGACAGGGAGAGGGTCATTATTGTGAAGTTTTGTGGTCAGCACAGTGGGCCATCTGGCAAGTTGGTGGGATGATCCCTGGACTTCTCGAAGCTGGGGACTGATACCTGCAGTGTGCTGGCCTTCTGTCACACCAGGGAAGAGTAGGGGCTTCGAGCATGTTAGATGTTGATGGAGATGAGGGCTAGGCTTCTGGTTCACGAGGCCAAAAAAAAAAAACCACAAAATCCCATGAACGTGGACAGCTTCCTATTTGAGAAGGTTGTCGACATAAAGGGTTTGGGGCAGATTTCTTTTGCCCTTATCTGATTTTCAGTGACCCTGTGTGCAAAGCATACAGTTAAGTTTTGTGACATGCTCCTCCTGTTCAGAGCGGGCTGCCCACGTAGGTAGCAGTCTGATGAAAGAGGGACTCCATTTTTGCCATTGCCACTGTGGTAGTAGTTTTCTGTCACTATAACGATTACTCAAGATACCAATTTATAAGAGGAAAGGGGTTATTTTGGCTCACAGTTTGGAGCTTTGGAATTTAAAATTGGTTGACGCCATTGCTTGGGTCTGTGTGAGGCAGCACATCACGATGGGAGCATGTGGCAGAGCCAAACCGCCCACTCATAGCAGGGACACCTTCAGGGATGAGTCCCCAGCGACTTCAAGACCTCATCTCTTAAAGGTTCCACCACCTTCCAACGGTTGGGGATCAGGACTTTAGTACATGGACCTTTGGGGCCACTTAAGCTCCAAATAATAGCTACATAAACTAGCATGCTTAATGTCTTCGAGGTAGGAGCCTCAATACTATACATGGATCATATTACAAAACCCAACATGATATACACTGTTTCACGGAGGAAGAGACTGAGGCTGAGGAAGAACTCTAAAAGTCATCCAAAAGTAATAGATTTGATGCAGACTGAGTTTTGAGCTGGCATCAGCCCAGTTTAGAAGCAGCCAGGTTTAACCAGCATAGAATTGTAAGTGGGCAAAGCATCATGTGGAATTTTGAATTTTTTTTTTTTTTTTTTTTTTTGCTGAAAAGAATAGATTTTATTTTGGACAACTTCAGAATATTTTCCCATTTCAAAGCTGGTGGTCCAAATCAGAAAGATCCCAGTCCTGCCTGGCTTTCTGACGTCCACTGCAACAAGGGGTGGTGTGATAATTGCTGCGGGAGTTCTGTTATCGACCAGCTCTGAGTATGGATTACCTGGTTCTGTTGGACCCAGAGCGACCCAGGGAGTGTGTCCTGCCAGGGCTGAGATGTACTCAGTGCTGGTGGATATGGGCTTGCAGGCTCTTGGCAGTTGTGACTTCCTGTGTTCGAGATAAAAGATCTACAGAGATTTATTAGGACAGTTCAGAAGGCTTTGGTGGACTGTCCCACACAGCTTAGCCAAACACTTCAATCATTTAATTGCAAATGGATTTGAACCATATGGGATGTGCACTTAAAAGAGGGTTACCAGATGATCTACAAAAGATGCTTGACAGTATATGTTACTCAGAATAATAAAGGGAATTTTCAAAAGTACTTGAAAAAAATGAGGTTGGTTTTCTAAACACAAGGATTTGAAAGAGGGGATTTTGTTTAGAGGGATCACAGTTTGCTCCCGTTTGTGTTTTTACCCAGACTGCATGAGCTGCCTGGGGTCATGGGTCAGTTCAGGGTGGGGGTCAGGGAATCCTTGGCGAGAGCCCCTCTCTTGTCCTTGGCTACCTGCTTGGGACAGCATCTGGTTCATCATGTTCCATGCCTTCCATGCAAGGTGGTGGGTTACACTCTGCAGGGAGCCTGGGTTCACATCGGTGAGCAGAAGGGGCTGGGTGGCCAGTGGAAGGACACACGGGGTGAGGACTGAACTTAAATGGAAGGGGTATCGTTAAGAGGGGACACATTGGGATCAGAATGGTGGCATTCGCATCCCTGCTTAGCACTAAAGAGCTTTGTGACCTCAGGTCAGCTGCTTCTCCTCGGGGGTCCTCAGTTTTCTCCTGGGGACGAGGATACCTTTTCTACTTTCCTTAGTACTGTTCTAAGGAAGCAGAGCCTCCTACAAACTGTTGGGGTCCATGTGAAATTGACTGTGTTGGGGTGTCGGAACTAGCTCAACCCTGTTCCCTTGCATGGTTCGGCGTCCTGGCCCCATCCTTGGACCCCAGAGTGGAGTTGTTAGGCACGGGCTGGTTCCTGGGGTCAGGGACCCGCACTGAGTGATTGGCAAGCTGCTGTCCCTGCCACTGGGCTGTGTGGCTCATGTTTGGTGGGTCTGGTGGGCTTCAGGACAGAGCCCCAGGCTGGGCACATCAGCAACAAGCTTACACCATCTGGGTCATACCAGCTCCTTGTCCTTGGAACTTGATGCCTTCCTCCAAAGGAGCTCTATCCCTGTTGGAAGTTCCAAGGGACATTTTGCTTTTTACTGCTCCTGCCCCCCTCAGCTTTTTACTGTGGAGAGTCAGGGGTTACTGAGTCAGAATCTGATTTTCCTGAGCAGAGACTCCCCAAAGCCTAGTGGTCCCAGGAACACTATGCCCACTGCTACATGCTTGGCTGGAGAGGACACAGGACTGGCGCAGAACTGCAGGAGTGCCATCTTTGTGCAGCAACTTATTTTCTAGTTGACACATAAGACCCAGGTAGTGTTTCCTTTTGCTGGACTACACTATTGGATTAAAAGCAAATGCTTTAAAATAGTTACTGTTTTGTATATTTGGCGAAATATTTATTGGCCATTACATGGTAGTCTCTTAGTAGGGGAGTCCAGAGACCAGTCAAGCAATTCCAGCTGATCTACCCAAGGACACTCCTTGATTAGGTTCACATTGTTGGAGCCAGGTGTCTGGCAGAACAACCCTTTGCAATGGCTACTTGTTTATGTATTATTGAGCTCCAATAACTCATGACATTAGTTTTGGTTTTTATGTCTTAGTTTAGCTGAGAATTTTCCAGATTAACAAGATTAGTCAGAATTGATGATGGGGTTAATGCACTTAGCAGAAGAAGAATACTTGGAAAGTAACTGCTCACACAGTTAAAAAGATGGTTTCTAGCCTCCCCAGGGCTCGAATGTGGTCCACTGTTAGAAATGGGCAATGTGGTACACTCGTGATCCATGACGCTTGTTCCCAGATATATCAGCTCTGCCTTGATGTGGAAAGAAGACTTTAAGCACTGAGTGGTAGCCACTGGGCATGTTCCTTTGAGAGTACACAGTGAGAGTGTTTCTTGAGATGAGGCCGATCAGCCAGAGGATTTCATGAAACTGATTAATTTCACAAGAAAATGACAGATGCTGAGGACAGCAGCAATGATGTGGCCTGTCCAGGGCTTTCCTGGAGGGATAGGACTCACATGTGGGAGAAAAATTAAGACCCCAAACAAATCGGTTAGCATTTGGCTGTTAGTCGTTGGTTGCTAAGGCAGGGAACCCTGACTTTTCAACATTACAGTGTAACAGCTTTATGGAAGACAGTTATAAATTGCACATAATGGGTCTCTGCCATGTTTTTACATTGACCTTTAGCGCTTGCCAGAGAATATATAGCTTTGACCTAAGAGGACAAAAGGAAATAGAAGAAAGGAGACACTGTGAGGCGTCCAAGGCTTCTGGCTGGCTGCCTCTCCGCGTGGCATGGTTTTGGTTTTTGTTCTTAAGCTCTCTTGGTGTGAGAGGCAGGGAGGAACTTATGAAGGGAGTGCTGATACCCTTGGGGGAAAGGTGGTCTTTCCAGAATCTCTTACCCCAAAAAGGTCTGTTAGGCCCCGCTGTGAACTGCTAAGGTGCCACGTTTGCAGAGACTCCACCCCACCATGGTGGACCTGGCTACTGTTTAATGGTTTCTATGTCATGTCCTCTTTAAGAGAAGGAAGCGCCCAACAAGCCCCTACGTGTGCGCGTCCGGTCCTCGGACGACAGGCTGTCTGTGGCGTGGAAGGCGCCGCGCCTGTCTGGAGCCAAGAGTCCACGCAGATCTCGGGGTTTTCTTCTGGGCTACGGGGAGAGTGGCCGGAAGATGAATTATGTTCCACTGACCAGAGACGAGCGGACACACGAAATCAAGAAGCTCGGTGAGTTTACCGTGGATGGATGCTCAGCGCCCCGACGGTCTTTGTGTTTGTTTCAATACTCAGAAGCCCGTCAGGGACAGAACAGTATTTCAAGTGTGAGGCTCATTTTCCAGGTATGACAGTGGCTTGAAGTTATCCCTTTGCTCCATCCGCTGTCCCAGCCGCCATCATTTTGACCTCAATGATGACACCAGGCTGTCTTCTAAGGCAGCTTCCTCCAGGCAGGCTGCTTTTCTGCACGAGGGGAGGGGCTGTTGCTTTCCTCATCTTGACTGTGTTCATCCCTGTTGCCTTTGAAATTTTGTCTTCGATCACGTTGGAATGTTGTGCCAGCCCTTATCTCTTCCCAAGCCCTGTACTGGGTAGAGGAAGTCCAGCTGTGGCCCTCAGGCTGCATCTGTGGGGACTGGAGACCCTATGTGCACAGCCAGGCTGGAGGGCTCCTGAGCTTTGCTGGCTGTAGTTATGACAGGCCTGGACAGCGGATGCCGGCCACACTCCAAGAGGGAACTGCGGCTTCCTTGCCTGTGGAGACAGGGCTGCTCCTGCTCCTTCTCCTCCCCTGCCTCTCTGCCCACTTCCACCTGATGAATGGGAAGGAGCATTGGGTGGATGCTGCTGCTGCTGCTGGGACCCTTCACGTCTCGTCCTCTTGGAGGAAGCCCAGCAATAAAGGATACATTCAAAGTCTTTCGTTTGTCCTTAGCAAATCTTTAAGGATTTTGTCCTCGAAGGGCACAGCCTCCCGCCGTTCAGAGAGATGTTCTGGCTGTTAACCCGGCTTGTCAGTTGTTCCTTTTCTTCTCCCTTCTTTTTGGACAGATAAAAACAGTGACTCCCTCTTCTGTCTTTTGGAAGTTAAAAGCAATTGGGGGAATTATGTGGGTAAATGTGCTTTTCATTTTTCTAAGCATAGTTTACCTCTCTTTCATCCTGATAATAAGCTAGAAATTCACTTTTCAGGAGTTAAAAGTAAAAAATCCCATTTTCTAACATAATAGTGTTCCTTTTGAGATTACTTCCTACACTTGGTGGGCTCCTGGTTAGTTGTCCTGAAGAGGAGGGAAAGCCCCTGGAAGGTGGAATGGAACGGAGGGAACGGGGGGAATGCACGGGTGCTCCAGAGACGTCCAGCCGGCCTCAGGCCTTGCTGTTTGGTTCACAGCCTCGGAATCCGTGTACGTGGTCTCCCTGCAGTCCATGAACTCCCAGGGCCGGAGTCAGCCAGTCTATAGGGCTGCCCTCACGAAGCGCAAGATCTCAGGTATGTTTCCCAGAATGCCTTTGGTGACACCAAAGTCTAGTGTGAACGCTGACTTGTTTTCACATGATGCTGGCTGTGATGAATTACGTAAATTTCATGGAGGATAAGGCAAACAAGAGGGCAGAGTTAGTTGCATTGGGGGTATAAGCATATGTCCTTCCTATGCGGAGGCTGGAGAGTTCATGTGATAAAGTCGGTTTCACTGTGCATTCTCTATGGCTTCCTGGTGCAGTAGCTCTGCCATGATAGCAGGGGGCAAGCTTTACACCATGTAAAGGCAAAATCAGATCCATGCATAAATGGCCCCTGGGAGACACTGAATAAAGTGCAAGAAATAACATCCTCTGATGTTAACACTCGTTAACATCAGCTAACCGTGCGTAGAAATGGCATGGAGAGGAGTGAGGAAAACTTGTCTTCAGGGTTTGCTGATAGCCTGATTGATGTCCCTTTACTAAGGAATATTTCTTCCCATGTACAACACAGTCATTTTTCATATTACTCATGTACTGACATGAGTAATATGAAAGTGATATGAGGGTATAAACCTTTTCTGGGTCAGGTGCCTTCACATGAAGAGACAATCTGCAACACATAGCTTTCTTTTCTAAAAATTCGTAATGTAAAATGAAATCTGTTATACTTTTTTATGTTGTATAAAGAAGTTCCATAAATAACAATGTTTTACTTTCATTATTTATTAATTGCTACCATACAAAAAGCCCCTGTATTACTCTTTTATAATGTTAAATATTTCTGCCTTCCCCTAGTTAGGTAAAATGAAACACGGTTCCTGTAAAATGAAGAGAAAAAACAAAAAATAAACATAAAGCCCAAGAGATTATAATGCCAAATAGAAGACATCTATGAATCTTAATTTGTTTGAGATTGAACTATTTGCTTGGTGACTATGATATCTACTGACAATAAAGATAAATATTTGTAAGAAATTGGCAAACTGAATTCTTATACAGATATAAATTTGAGTCTGTCTTGCAATCACATATTCTAACATGTATGGACTTTGAGCCCCATGTGATTGTTAGAGCTGTCTGAACCAGTTTTCTCTTCTTGTCATTATCCCCAAGAAAATTTTTGCTTTCCATAAAATTGTTGACTATTCCAGGGAATAAGGAGCGACAATGAGTTACTTGGAGAGCCTTCCACCAAGGCAAAGCATCCCTTTTGCCTGATTCTGTATGTTGATTGGGTTGGGCTGCTTTGAAATTGAAAGGCCCATTTCTTAGCTGTGTTCAAGAACAGCAATGGTGGAGATTTTTGTTATTCTACACTAACCATTGAAATGATTTCTTAAATCTATTTGTTTCATTTTGTCTAATTCAAGCATAGATAATAAAAGCCATACAGGGTGAATCATAGGCTCTGGCCAGAGGAGCTTGAGGCAGAGCCTCTGGTTAGAGATGGCCTTTGGTGTGCCCCGTGTCTTTTCAGAAGAGGACGAGCTGGATGTGCCCAAAGACATCAGTGTCCGAGTCATGTCATCCCAGTCGGTGCTTGTGGCCTGGGTGGATCCTCTCTTGGAAAAGCAGAAGAAAGTTGTTGCATCAAGGTATTTTTGCAAGTTCCTTTAAGTATGAGAAATGTGGGTTTCCCCTGAAAAGGCATGTGGCTGAATGGTAGAATATTCCTTGGCGATCAAGGCTCTGAAGCTACCAGGGCCTCATGGAAGCCACAGGGCAAGACCTCCCATCTCACTTGCTCACAAGTTTTATCTTGGGCCTGGAATTTTCCTGGATTCCATTTTTTCCTTGGCCCCTGGTTGGGTTTTGTTTCATCTCATTGCTGTTCTGTTCATGGGCAGCCTCTGCCTTGGGAGGAGCTTACTGATGGGTGGCAGTGAGGTAGGTTTTTATGTAGAGTGTAGGATTTTGTATAATACCTTAGCAGCTGCTCAACTGCTTCCCATCCATGCATAGCAAAGCATACCTTACTTTCTATTAGACCATGATGAAATGCTATTCTGATTATTGTGTTCATTTGTAAAAGCAATGAAAGAAAAATCAATTGTAAGGTCAAATTCATTTTTTATGTTAAAAGGCCTCTAGTGAATATAGCCATCAAATTTTTGTGTGTTCATTGGCCAAATGCATATTATATATAACCAAGAGAAAGTAAAAAATTTGGTGACTTAGTTATTATGTATTCAATTTTGAAACTATCAGCACCCAGGAAAGGGCAATATATTTTTAAATGAATGGAATATACTGCTGAGATTACATATGTATATATGTATATGTATCTATAAATATATGTATGTATAAGTTATATACATATACACACATAGATACATAAAAGTCAACATTCATATATGTGTACATATAGTTATTCCTGTTAAATTTATGGCTTCCTTGAATATCTGCTGGTTAAAAAAACATCTGCTTCCTTTGAAAGACCTCAGGAGGTTCATAGTGTTCTCTCTAGCCCTACGGCCCTCCCCAGCACCAACTGTCCTGATTACCATTGGGCTTTGATTTCACCATTCTGCTGAAAAGCAGCAGGTGTGAGTTCTCTTAGCAGAACTGCTTTGATGATTGGCGTGCCATGCTGGCAACTGAAGATTTTGCCTGACTTATTAAACATAATGAATAGCACGTTCGTAATGCTTTCTAGTGCAAAGAGGCTGCAAAGAAAATCTCTATAGAAAGGAATCCCGTAAGCAGTGCAGGCCACTCTCAGAGTGCTGAGGATGTGTGCTGTTTGGGTTTTGAGCACTTCCAGGTTCATTCACACCATGATTCTCTCCCTGGAACACACACCAGAGTATAAGCTCCTCTGTCTTGCTCTATTTGCTACACATTTTTGCCCCATTTCATGGTAATAAGTCTACTCAAAGCCACATGTTCTCTCTCCTCCTGGATATATAGGAAACATGCCTGTTGTCTCATGAAATGAGTCTTTTTAGTCTTTCTTTTCTGGAGAGCTGGAATACTTGGGCTGGTTCTGGTCCTCAGTGTTGTCCCTCTGTTCAGTGTGTGTGTGCGTGTGCACACACACATATACACACTAACACACACCTGATAAGGTGGTTGCCTCATAAAATCTGCCCCCTTCCATCCCTTCCCTTTCTGATCTCTGCTTGCTCTTTTGAGCATCATGCTCCATCTTTCCTGGTCTATTTTAGACACCTTTGCTTGGAACTTAAGTGGATTCTTTGCGCTAATAACAGTCAAAAATTCAGATTTTTCTCTTCTTTGATTTCCCTAGTTACCTCCAAAAGTTATTACTTATGGGGAAGGAAAAAAAGCAAGGACTCTAGTGTTGAGCTGCAGAGACTCTGGTCAGCTGGCTGCACTGGTGCATTGCGTTTTCTCATAGACAGTACACCGTGCGCTATCGAGAGAAGGGGGAATCGGCCAGGTGGGATTACAAGCAGATCGCCAACAGGCGCGTGCTGATCGAGAGCCTGATCCCAGATACCGTGTATGAATTTGCAGTCCGTATCTCCCAGGGTGAAAGAGATGGCAAATGGAGTACATCTGTCTTCCAAAGAACACCGGAATCTGGTCTGTATTTGAAACAGCCTTCAATTTTCTATTTGGGAATAGCTCCTAAAATAAGATTTAGACAGTGGTGACAAAGACCAGCATGGGCATTCTTTTTTACAGTCATATTAACCCTAAATCTTAGTAGTATTTCTACTTATAAATGCAAAGAAGTTCGGATTAGTGTTAGGGTTTGAGTAAAAAAAGAATCTAAAAAAGAGAAAGTCCCAGAAGTTAAGGGGCTGTTCCTTACACCCACGTTTTGTCCTCTGCTGTCCTTTTCTGCTGGCATGTTGTCCTGACACCTGGAGCACATGAAGTGCCAGTGTCTGGCAGCCATCGTCACCGTCATGTGTGAGGATGCCCAAGGTGCTGCCTGGTTCTTGATGTAGGCGGAGACATTCTTTATTACTGGGGCTGAGCCTGTATTTGAATCCAGGGGTGGATTTTGCTGTGTATCCAAGCCTATGGTACATTTCTTTTCAATGTTGTCCTAAAAGTTGTATTAAAAGAAGTTGGAACTGGATTTTAATCTTTTTTGTATATTTCAATATTGAGCCATGCGAGAATTCTGAATTCCTGAAAGCACTTCTTAGATAAGTCTAAATTCACTGTGGGTAGAAGTGACGTAAGTCGCTCTACTCCACGAAGAGCATGTGTCGACATCTCTCTCTTGTGTCCCTGACTCACACACGGGAACTCTTTGTTAAGCAGTGTGTACCCAGGGACTGTGTGCCCTTGACTTTTAGGATATCCGTTCGCATCGTAAAATGTCTGATTCCTTGTAGCTCCGACCACTGCTCCTGAAAACCTGAATGTGTGGCCTGTGAATGGCAAACCTACAGTTGTCACCGTGTCCTGGGATGCGCTGCCGGAGACTGAGGGAAGAGTGAAAGGTAGGGACCTCGTCCCCCCCTCGCTAAGTTGTGTTGACTGATGGACACTGCCTCAGATCACAGCTTTGGTGACTGAAAAAGAAATAGGAACGCAAGGGGTACAAGAGGTGCTAGCTCCAGGGGCAAAGATGTTTCAGGCGGGATTTTTGTTTTCTGCCATCCAAGTAGCTACGAAGGGGATTATTCTTCTCTTCTTCCTGGAAGCAGCTTTTCGGTGTTGCCCTCAGCAGGGATGCGTTTCATTGCATGTGTCTGACGTCATGACTTTTGCCCATCCTAACAACATATTTTTTTTTCCCCCCATGCTACAAGCTTTTCATTGTGCAGAAAGATTATGAATGTAGGAGTCACTGGGAGACCCTTTGAAAGGACTGTGAAAGATTTTAATGGATTTGAAAAATTTAAGTAGTAAATTCTGAAAAATGGATTAATTCCTTGTTTTTCATTTTTTTAGTTCGAGAAATGAAATACACAGGTCTTTTGATTCAATGTAAAAAGCATTCCAGAAACTTGCAGAAGTGTGGAGACCTTTAGAACCACGTTGGGGGTTTCCAGATGTTGCCTATACAAATGCACCACACACAGGGAGAGAATGAAATTTTTATTCAAGAAAAGAATATATATATTTTTTGTTGCTACTAAGGTTTGGAAGCCAACTTTCTAATATGTCCAGAAACTATGAAAAGTTGGTGTAAGTTTTAAAAATCCAGAAAACGACCATCAATTTCTTTTGAGAATTTAGTAGAAAATAGGAACTAGTTCTTAGAATGATTGATCATAACAATCCTGTAGGACATGGAGGGTGTCTTTTTATGGGACAGTAAAGTTAAGGGAGGTCCATGCAGAAGGGTGTTTTCTATACTCAATGCACTATCAAGTTCCAGTTTTTTTTAAAGAAAAGATTATACTATCCTTCCTCATTCTGCCCACTGGAATAAATCAGAGAGAGTAAAGAGAATAAATGTTTAGTTGTGTTTTTATGGCCTTGTTTTTATGACAAGCAAGATATTAGTTCCCTGGAGCTGCTGAAAAGGCCTATGAAGCGGAACACAAACAGCTTTTGGCTGACTACTTTTTTAGTTCTAAAAAGGACAAGTATTGGTCCTCTTGTGAATCATCACCATGCTGCCCATGTCCTAGTTTATATTCACAGCTTCTCAGTGAAAGAAGCTCCTGGTCATCAACTAAATATTGCGGGAAAGATTAATAGCCACTGAGTTTTTCTATGATAAAGAATCCATGTATCTTAATTCTACCTAGTTTTCACGAGGGTGTTGTGATGGATTGAAATTCATAATTACATTTGCATAAGAAACATAAATCACAATAGGAGACTATATGCTTTGGCATGGTTACATATTTTTTTTTCCAGACACATTGAATCCATTAAAAAATTTTGAATTACAAAACTTAATAGACAGTAAGTCCTCTTGATTCTTAGTTTTGACCACAGCAAATGACTAGTGTGCTATTTTCAATGAGAAAAGAATGCTCTTTTTCCAGACAAATGCTGTGAAAGCATTCTTAGTTGAAAGTTTTAAAATTCATGTACTTTCTGGAGATTAGAGCTTAGGAAAAAGAAAGGCTCTCCCATGCTCCTGATAATTGCTTGAGGTTTTCTGTCCTTCAAATTAATTTTTTTAGTTAAGTCATACTCATATGAATTTGAAAAGTTTTGTGAATCCCAAGTTCCATGAGATTAAAATAGCATAATACTTTTCAGTTAAAGGTTAAAATTATGCTTCTTCAAATATGACTTCATATGTTACAGTTGTTCCATGGGAAAAGATCTTTTAGTTTGGCTTTCAAGGTTCAGGCCTGATACATGTAGCTAATTAATGATGGAAACATTAGACATCACATAAATCTATTACTTAGTAGCTTTTCTTCACAGTTTAAAATTCTGTGAAACATCCTACCAGCATATATTGAATAAGAATTTTTATCATGCCTCTAAAAGTGAATTATATTCTAAATATGGAAATTGTCTGGCTTAACATACTAGTAAAGGTACCACAAGTTGGTAAACTGAAACTCTGAAAGATGTCAACAGTTACACAGAAAAAATTCCTAACAGATGACACCTGGTTTTGTTTTGTTTCTCTATTCAAGATAAGCCAACCCATCATAGCTAGTTAGTAAATAAATATTTTTTAAAAACACTGTCAATATTTCTGGTATATATTACGAAGACTGGCCTCCTGGTTTGTCTGACACAGCACATGGCCAGTTCATGAACTGAGTAGCGCTGTTTGGTGCTGAGTGGGTGTGAGTTCACCTTCTGCTGCATCCTCTGCTCCCGCCATTGATGTGGCGTGCATTGCTAGCATGTTAATTTTTAGTAATGCACGTTCTAATTCATCCTGCCCATACAGTCTGTCTGCTGGACACAGGACTGTTTTCAGTTTCCTCCTTCCAACCGTCTGCCAAATCATTTCAGAATACATTCTTTCATACGCCCCGGCTCTCAAACCATTTGGAGCAAAGTCCCTCACCTACCCTGGACACACTACTTCTGCCCTGGTGGACGGTCTGCAGCCTGGGGAACGCTATCTGTTCAAAATCCGGGCGGCAAACAGGAGAGGCCCGGGGCCACACTCCAAAGCCTTCATTGTCACTATGCCAACAAGTAAGCACCATGTGTCGCGGCTCTCTCTCTCTCTCTCTCTGTTCTGCTACTTGTTTTGTGTTACTTTGAATCATGCTTCTAGGTTTAGAACTGCATGGTTGATGATTATTTTGAGGGGGAGGGGGTCAGGTTTGCATATCAACTTCTAAAATTTCTTTCTGGTTCTTTTGGAAATTAATTTTCCCAAAGACTAAAATGCTTTTGATTGATTTTAATGTTAATAATTATTACAGTATCATCAATGTATGAATTATACCATTAATTTTACATCATGGTTTAACTTGAGGCTTATGTTGACTGGGAAAGAACATTTTTGCAAGTGTAATGTGACATTTTTCATTGCTAGCCTCTCCTGCAGAGCATTTAGCAATCTCAGATTGTATTCCATTAGTTTGGAGAGTAGCTTCACCCAGGAGGATTTCAGTTGTCCAGTTATCTAATCAAAACCAACAAATTCATAAAGATCCCCAAATAGACTGGACTGCTTTGGGAACATGTTTTCTGTTTTGTTCCTCCACATACAGGCTAGATTCCAGAGCTCCCTCCTTCATTATGTGCTATGAGGATTCATGGTGTGCAGCCATTATTAGTGTTATCCTAGGACAAACTGTGAAATAGATGAATCTCTCAGTGCCCACCACACTGCAATATAAATTTCCTGCCCATTATAGCATCCCTTCCTCTGTGGATCCTTCTCCCAGTGCAAAGACAATTGTAGGGAATGTTGCCTACCTCGGGAGTCTTTTCATTTTAAATTTTATTTTGGAATTATAAATGTATCCATTGTGAAAGGAATTTTAAGCAAGAAGGAGGAAGCACAGGGAACTCTTTGTAATGCCTCAAAAATGGCAAATTTGTTCCTCACCCCAGTCACTTGCAAGTTACTCACATACATTCCCATATAATTTTGAGTATAAATCACTCAACTTTTGTATCTGGGTTATATATATATATTTTTGCTTGTGAAGAACACCTATAATATTTTTGTACTATATGGACAATAAGTTATTTTAAGAAAATCCTACATAAAAATTTGCATTTATAAGATCAATAAATTATAGCTATACCTTAGTAATTTGGAGGCATTAGTTACAGGACCACCCCCCCACCAAAGGATGCCAAAATCTGCAGATGTTCAAGTGCCTTACATAAAACAGCATAGTATTTGCATATAATATAGACACGTCCACCCATATACTTTACTCCAAACATTTTTTATCAAAGTTGACTGAATCTGCAGATGCAGAACTCACGAATATGGAGGACTGACTATATTTCAAAGTACTTATTTCAAAATTCCTGCAGATAAGAAGTTGTAAGATAACATGATTTAATGTATAGATGCAATTCTCATATATTTTCTAGGACTACATCTGTTACTTAGAGCAAAATATGATTTTAAAAAAAGAATATTATAATTGGAAAAATAAGTTTCCAGTATTCTAAGGAACTAGAGGTGACCAATTATGATCACAATGTGGATCACCTGCATACTACCATCTTAGTTACTCCCTTTGTTTCATACAGTTTTTGGAAAAAAAAAAATTAACATCAATTCTTTAAAATCTGTTACAGCCAGCACTAGTGAGTCTGATGTTCAGCAGAACACCAACGATAACTGGAAACCCAAGAAACCGGAGCCTTCCTCACCTTCTCCCAAAGATCCAGGCAGAAATGTCAAGGACCCTCTCCTTGACTTGAAGAACAAAATACTGGCCAATGGCGGGCCGCCCAGAAAACCCCAGCTCCGCCCTTGGAAGACTGAAGAGTCAGATCGGCAGTCCACGGAGGTCACCGATGAGGAGGAGCTGGATTCCCTGGAAAACCCACCCAAGTTGCCTTCAGAGACCCAAGACCAGAGGCGAGCCCTAAGGCCACCAAGTAGATCTGGCCAGTGGCTTCCAGGCAGGACTCCAGCCAGAGCCCGAATGCCACTGCTGCCCCGGAGGGAAGGCTTAGATAAGCGTGGCCCCTCATTGGCCACCCATCCTCGCCCAGCAGCTACCCCCTCTGCGGAGTCCTCTCCTGGCCACCGCCAGGCCCCCCAGGGGCCCTCTCCCCACCCTGCTGGGGGACCCTCTGACAGTTCTATTGACAATGACTCAGTGGACCAAGATGAGGACAAGCAAGCTGAAGGTGCTCTCTACCCCAAGGCTGCCTCACCCCAGCAGCCGCCTTCTAAGAACCCAGCCCAGGCTCGGCCGGCCCTGTTCCCCAGCCGCCAGGGGGCCTCCAGCATCCTGAGGGACAGAAGCCCAGTACACAACGGTGCAAAACCAGTCTTCCCTGCACGAAGGACGCCCCAGTCTGGGGCCATGGAGGAAGATTCCAGAGCTCCAGCCCCACCCTCGAGACTTTCCCCACCCCACAGAGGCTCATCTCGCCTACTGCCCACCCAGCCTCACCCGGGTCCCCCTCTCTCCAGGGGCTGGAAGGATGTTAATGGTCAGGAGTCCCCTGCCACCAATTACCATGCATCCTCACAGTCTACCCTGTCTTCCTCGGTCTCTTCTCCTCTCTCTTCCAGGACACAGGTCTCTGAGGAAGTGGACACTTCTGATGACTGGGGAGATGGTGACCGGACCACAGAAAACACTGGGAGGCAGGCAGAGGCCACCACCCCAAGCTTGAGGGCCCGACCTGCCTCTGGACCCCTGAGTTTGCTCCGGAACAAGGCCTTTGCCTCCAATGGCAGGTCTTCAAACAGGCTGACCAATGGCCGGGGGCCACGGCTGCCGCCCTCTACCTCCCCGCAGTCCACCATGGCTTCCCGAGTCCCCTCCAGGGGTCATTCCCAGCCAGCTTCCCACTCTAGACTTGGCTCAGATATCCATGGAGATGGGGAGGATGAGAAGCCACTTCCAGCCACTGTGGGCAACGATCACGTGCCCTCCTCCAGGCAGCCCACCTCTCGAGGCTGGGACTCTCTAAGAAGAGACCCCCAGAGAGGAACCAGCCTGTACCGGAAGGAGCTCACCCCTGAAATCCCCAAATCTGCAACAGATGCACATCCTCAGGGCAAATCCTCCTCTCTGTCCTCTAAGGCACAGGACGTTCAACAGAGCACGGACGTGGACGCCGACGGTCATTCTCCCAAAACGCAGCCAGTGTCCACGGGCCGCCAACTGTCCCCTGCTCGTCCTCCCGCAGCAAGGTCGCAGCCCTACCCTGGGTCCAGTGTTCCTAGAAGGACGGCACCTGACCACGCCTATGAAAAGCAGCCCCCTCCACCCGTCTCCCCGCCCCGGCACCAGTCCCCCAGCCCCCAGAGCCAGGACGCAGACCGGTCACTTTCCCAGCCCAAGCTCGCCCTTGCCCATGCAGGGCGTCCTCGCCCCACATCGCAGGGCGGCGCCCACTCCATCTCAGACCCTTACACAGCGAGCTCCCGAGGGGTGCTGCGCCCGGCTGCCCAGGGCCAGGACGGGGACTCCCGGAACAGCTACGAGGACAACAGCACCGAAGTCGAGGCCCCGGATGTTCAGGTCCCCCCCGACACTGCCCGCACGAAGGATGCCACCCCGTCCCTGTCCAAGCACCGTAAGGTGGCGTCTTCCACAGGGAAAGGTGACGACAAACCCCAGCGTGGCCCCACAGGCTTCACTCTGCGACCCAGCCGGCCAGGCGGCCCCCACTCCCGCGCCCGGGCCCCTGGCAGGGCCGGGGTCCAGGCCACACCCGGGAAGAAAGAGCCTCCTTCCAAGTGGCCCTTGCAGTCCAAGTCTCAGCAGTCAGTGTCCGCCGAGGAGGAGGAGGACGAGGAAGAGGAGGACGCGGGATTTTTAAAAGGAGGAAAGGAGGATCCCCTGTCTCCCTCTGTTCCAAAGTGGCCTTATTCCTCTACCCCCAGGGGCAGCAAATATGCGGACGGGAGCCTTGCCAAGGACAGGACTGCCATGGTGCTGGCTCCCCGAGGAGGGAGCTCTGCGCAGGAAGAGCACGCCACTCCTGGGAAGCGACCTCCTCTCCCACCTCTGGGAAGTCCCCCCAGAGTGGCACACCTCCCCACCAGACAACCGCCTCGCGGCTCTGCCACCCTGAGTCCCGTCCTGAGCACCCAGTCCTGGCCGCGGTACACCACTCGCGCTCCTCCCAGCTACTCCTCCACCACCCCGATGCTCTCCTTGCGCCAGCGCATGCAGCGCAGATTCCGCACCCCTGTCTCGCGCCAGCCTCCGAGACCTCCTCAAGTGCAAGGTAACTGGTTTTTGAAAACAGCCATTTAACTTTTTTTTTTTTTTTTTCCTTTTTAAGGTAGTCAGTAGTTTTCTTGGCTATTCCTGAGAATGATTTACTTTATTGTATTGAGCCTCTACTATGTGCAAGCACTGTGTTTAGAGATTTGCACGTACAAATGTAATGTCATCCCTTTAAGTCTGTTAGGTTTTGCATTGTTACCCCCTTTCTTTACATGAGGAAGCCAGGGCTCAGGGATTAGAGGCAGACCTGCCATGATACTGTCTGAGATGCAGTTATAGCCCCAGACACGAATTCCACTGCTCTCTGTTATTCTACAATTCCATACTACTTATTGAATCCCTTAACAGATGCTCTTTTTGCGGGGAGAGTGTGGGGTACCAGGGATTGAACTTAGGGGCACTCTACCACTGAGCCACATCCCAGCCCTATTTTATATTTTATTTAGAGACAGGGTCTCACTGAGTTACTTAGTGCCTCACTTTTTGCTGAGGCTGGCTTTAAACCTGTGATCCTTCTGTCTCAGCCTTCCAAACTGCTGGGATTACAGACATGCGTCACCACGCCCAGCCTTAACAGATGCTCTTAATCTGTGAAAACATGTCACAACCCTGATGTTCTTTTCAGTTCACTTGCCAGCATGTATTTAAGGAATCAGCAGTAACAAATTAGATATGTAGGTAGGCTTGTCTTGTTCTTCTCTTTTGCATACAAAATTCCCAACCATACTCTGGGACAAATTCAAATGTCTAGTATATGAGGTGCCCTGATGTTGCCATTGGTGAATGTTGGCTAAAACATCCTTAAAATGAGGGTTAAAGATAATTGTCACACACAAGCATCAGACAGATGTTTGCCTTGTACTTCCCTAGCATAGGCTGAAATGTAGCTAGCTTTGAAGCCTAAGTGGGCCTAAGCGGACCCCAGAGCAGGATCTAAATTACTTACCATAAATTTGCATTCAAATTTCAGTTAATCCTGAACTCTCCTTGCATGTAATTGGAACTTCATCAAACTTTCATGAAGTTTCATAATAAATATACTAGTATTTATTAATCCATATGATGCAGTGTCATTTTAGCCTAATGCAAAGATGGAACAATGTACCACATCGAGGGCAATTTCACATGAAGACTGATTATTTTAATTAAAGCTAAAACCCTGATAATAGATGTAAGCTCATCATTCCCTGTACATAGTAGGAACTTGTTCAGTAATTGATGGGTAAATGGAAGAGTGAAAGAAAAATGTCTCTGACCTGAAAATAGTTGTCAGAAAGCCTACACACTTTCTCCAGCAGGTGAGGCAGGACCTCAGAGCACTCCCCCCCTGAGCCTCAGGTAGACTGCTGTAGAGGAGCCACATAATGTCTAGGGCTGCACCTCTTGCTTGCTCTCTTAGCAAGTCTTTCCCAAGCAGCCCACAGGGTTCAGCAAGCTTGGAGTCAGCATTGCACATTTATTCTTGGCTGCTGCTGATTGGCACCTGATTCAGCCAGAAATAGTAATTTTGCTTGGTCTAAAATGCTGAGAAAAGCAGGACAGCACATAGTACACTTCAGAGATAATTTTCCCCATCCTTCCAACCACCCTTTTCCCTCCAACTTCTTAAGCTTAAGGTCTTAAGCTTTATATGGCAACGCTACTTAAGTGGCATTTTCTTATTTTCATCCCCAGTATTGTCAGAACACAGGGACTTCACTGTACTTTTGTAGACTTTCTTATTTATCATGTAGAAGCCACAGTATAAGATTACTGTTATCTAATATACAGAAGCTATCGGTTTAAAACTCTGTTCAGTGTTTGTTTGAAATGATGTGCTACAACATATGGTATGAAACCAATGGTTCAGGAATGTTGAATTTACCCAGTTCTGTTATTTTAAAAAAAATTTTAATCTTTGCACTGTGTAGGTTATAATGGCAGACCAAAAGTAGAAGAGAAAATACTTCCTGGTAATAATGGGAAACCGAATGGACAAAGAATTATCAATGGCCCTCAAGGAACAAAGTGGGTAGGGTAAACTTTACGCATTCCAGTTATTTTCATGCCATTGGGAAGAGAAAAATGAATACTGTACCAATAAATCAAGTGGCCTTTTTCTTTTCTAGTTTTAACCACTTATACGTGAAGATGCTTGAATACAATTTCTTTTAATGCTCAGAAAAATCTTTGGTTTTCTTGAGTAACTCACCAGTTCCTCTTACAGCTCATAGATGAGACCTGAGCCAGTCCTTCATTTGCCGTGACTGGTGGAAAGACACACAAAAATGTGGCCCAGCCACAGCCTGATGAATGGCCTCTCAAGTGAGCTCACTTCCCCCTATTCCCCTGTTTTGTTTATTACTTTAAGTTTATTGTTTGATTAAATATTAGACATATTGTCTGTAAGATGTCTCAAATACAACTTTGTAAAAGTTTCTTTGTAAAAGAAAGCAGGGTAAAAACAAATGAAAACCCCTAAATCAAATAGATATTTTTTATCAGATCAATTTTTGAATCACAATTCAACTATTGTTGTTTGATTACAATTTAAAACATGCACTAATACTTTATGTATGTTTAAACAAAGTCACTTTTGAAAACCCCTGCCTGGGGTTAAGATAAATGTTTAGGGGATTTCTGTGTGTTGTGGGTAATGGATAGAATCCTTTACAATGTTGAGACATTGAAAACATTCTTTAAAAGAATAAAAAAAATTCCTGGTGGAATTCCCAGTCCAAACTTTCCATTTATGATGGCAGGGTTTAGGAAAGCAAACAGTATTAAAGGACTTCATAAAATTTTCAATCATAGTTTAGCTAAAGATGCATTTTACCATTTCTTAAAGGAACGAACATTGAAATAGGAAGAATGAGAATTAAAGCAAAATTTCATTACAAACAATCTTGGATTGAAACAGTATGGGGTGGATTTCAAAAGTAGAACTTTTACAAACCGTTCTTATTTTTATTACCAAAACAGCACCCAACAAAGTGGCCCGTTTATGGGACTTCCTCTGCGGCATGATTGTGCAGAGCAGTGATTCTCAATGTTAGCCAGCTCAGGGTCCCTGGAGGCTTGTCAAATACAAGCCCAAGGGAGGATCATGATTTGTGTATTTGACAAGTTGCCAGGTGATGGGGATGCGGGGAGGTTGCTACTCCAGGACCACCATGGAGAAGAGCCAGTAAAGAGCATGAGCTTGTTTCTTAATAGAGATAATAATATTTTCCTTCATTTTAAAGTTTCTTAGAATATGATATACTGTATTAGGCAATAATTTTTAAAAAAATGGTGTCTCATTTAATAATCAAATTTGAATTTTAACATTAACAGTAAAATGGAAATGTAATGTTTTTAAATGCTAGTAATACATGTTCATTGCAAAAAGTTCTAAAAATTCAGAAATAGATAAAAAAGAAAATAAGCATCCCCCGCTCCTAACACTGTGGTCTCAAAGGTCACTGCTGTTGATGGTTTGGGGTATGTCCTTCCAGATTTTTTTTTCTCTGAATTTTGAGCTTATATGCAAAAATATACATATCTTTTTTGTTTTTGTAAAATAATCAGTTCTGAAATCTGAATGCATATCAGTGTAGGTCACTATATAGAAAATCCCCATGTCCCTTTTATTGGCTGCATATGGGCCATGATTGATTTAATCATTTCCCTCATTGATGGATCCTAGTTGTTCCCTAGTTACCCTAGACATAATATACTAAATGGTAAAAGTATTTTGAACATTTTTGTGTATTTGAGAAACTTAAAACAATTTACATATTTATGGGTAAGCAATTATAAGACGAAATATGACTGTTCAGCACTTTTTTTCCTCAAACCTTGTAAACTATACTGACGAAAAGAAATGTTCCCAACTCACATTATGGTTTCTTTCTGTGAAAGCTTCATACATATGTAGTTGGATGAATATATTTTGAAACGTCCTATACATTCTTTAATCTGTGTCGTGGGTTTAGGTCGTGGATCTTGACCGTGGGTTAGTGTTGAATGCGGAAGGGAGATACCTTCAAGATTCACAGGGAAATCCTCTTCGGGTGAAACTGGGCGGAGATGGTCGCACCATCGTTGGTAAGTGGGGGTGAACTGGCCACAGGATGAGATTAGCGGTAGGAAGATTTCCGTTTCCTGGAATGGCTTTGTCTTTAATGGCTGCTCTGGTCCGCTTACTTTTGGCCACACAGGAAGAAGATCCCTTGAGTATTTCCCATGAGGCTTTCCTTATTCTTCCTGCAGACTCTACCCTCCAGAAATGGGGTCCTCTACCTTTCTCCCGACACTGGCCATTTAGCGCAGGGGTCTGAAAACTGCCGCCCACAGGCAACCCCTGACCACTGCCTGTTTTTGTAAAGTCTGTGAATTCAGAATAGCTTGCATGTTTTCAAATTATTAGGAAAAAGAAAAAAAGAAGAATATGTTGTGACTTGATCGTTCATTACATGAAATTCACATTTCAGTGTGTCCTTACACAGAGCCTTGGAGCATAAAGACACTCTTCTCTGTATCACTCAGATCTCGTGCTCTGCCCTGTTTGTGTTCTAGTATCTTTGCCCTCCGAGAGTTCAGCTGAGTAGCTGCAACAGAGATCATGCAGCCTACAAAACTTAAGATGTTTATCTCCAGCCCTTAATGGAGAAAGTTTGCCACCATGGTCCTCAGTGGCACTTTTCCTCCTTGGGAGTGGGAAGGAGGAAAAGGACAAGCTCTTCCCCTACTGAGCCTCCTCAGGCTGAGGGGGCATACTGAGGAACGATCCTCAGATCTACAGAGTCCCGGGCAGTATGAAAGGCCCAGGAGCCTCCGGAAAGCAGCAGATGCTGCCCCTCAGGTGATGTCCTTTGAATTATTCCTTTGCCTTCCAGTCCATAAGCTCTGGGAAGACACTGTCAGGCTTTTCATTTCCTCTGGATTGTTCCCCCTGGTCATGTAACTCTTGGTTGGTTTTGTTTCAGATCTAGGTGGGACCCCCGTGGTGAGTCCTGACGGCCTCCCACTCTTCGGGCAGGGGCGACACGGCAAACCCCTGGCCAGTGCCCAGGACAAGCCCATTTTGAGTCTTGGCGGGAAGCCGCTGGTGGGCTTGGAGGTCATCAAAACAACCACCCGCCCTCCTACCACGACCCCACAACCCACTACCACAACTACCACTGTGCCCACCACCACCACAACACGGCCCACGACGGCTACCACCCGCCGCACGACCACCACCCGCCGCACGACCACCACCCGCCGCACCATCACCACCACCCGCCCAAGGACCACAGTCCGAACCACTACGCAGCCCACCACCACCACCACCACCACTACCACCCCGGAACCCACCACCCCTGTCCCCACCTGTCCCCCTGGGACGCTGGAGCAGCACGATGAGGATGGCAACCTGATAATGGGCGCAAACGGGATCCCAGAGTGCCACCCCGAGGAAGGTAACCAGCTCTGTTCTAGTGGTGACCCTGTGCTGCATCTCAGGGGTCGACAGCACAGCAGCGGTAGAGGTGTCTGAACCCCAGCAGGTTTGGTTGAGGTGCTATGGCACAATCAGTCAGCCAATAGGAAACATTGTGCAGGACATCCCTACACGACAAAGCTGTTTGCTGGTCACTTAACATTCGTGATTAACCGGGTGTTGTATCCATCAGCCCTGTCACAACCCAAGTCTGAAGCTTAGCTGAAACGTGGGGCATTATCAGTTAGACCAGTGTTTCCCAAAGTGTCTCCCACTGGATGTTAGATCAGTATTATTACATTTTAAGGAAGGGAAGAAAGAAAGGTCTGTGATTAACTATGAGATTTAAGCGAGGTTCGATAAGTTTCTCACTGTGGGACGTTTAGAACAGTCTCCCTTGGCTCTCTGAGCGGAGTACCATTTCTGGAGCACATCTGGCAGCTGAGCATCTGACCCGTCACCCCCTATGGAAAACGTGAATCCTCGTGGCGCGGCAATGGGCTCTCCACTGGCAAGAACACGCTGCTTTCCTGCCTGCCCAGCTTGATCTGGGCGTCCGGCTGTCCTTGATATCTGTCTGTCTGTCTTCCTACGGGAGCGGCTCTTTCTCCCTGCAGACTGGGAGCTAGAACATGTTTGCCCAGGTCCTGGTGGAGCTGCTGGGTCATTGTCCTTCCTGCTCAGGCTCCTGTTCCAGCTACTTAGCAAGACGCCATCCTGGGTTTGCCTCAGGCAGCGGAGATGAGTCGCCTTCTTTCCCTCAGGCTGAGATGAGTCGAGGGTCGGCCATGACACTAATGCCACTTTAGGCTCCTGCAGAGGGGGACCCTTCCTTTCAGGAATTGCTTCCACACCTTCATCGCTGACGGGGAGAAGGCCAGCCATTGCAAGCACGAAGGCTGGACCCCAAACGAGAATTCTTTCATGGAAAATTGTGAAACAAATAGGAAAACATGACATCTGAAAAATTCACACCAAAGAACAGGGGAATGATTACAGGGACGAGGACCACCAGGAAGGAACGCACTGCTGTTCACAGTGAGTATGAATTTGGATTTGCTAGTATTAGAACGGCTTCTTTCTTCTGCATACATGAATGTGCTTGTTTTTAAAAATAGACATTAATTAAAACAGATAATTAATATTGGTTGTAAACAAAAGAGTGATTATTTTTGGATTTGACTTTAATTAATGTATTGTGTTGCATTTTGTCTGCTTTTCTTTAACATGTTCTTTTCATTTATTTTTTATTTTTGGACCTAAATTTGGCATAAAAGTCAATATTTTTCTTGGCATTAGTATCTACTCTTTGCAAATCTGATATATATATGTATCATTCTACTTTGCTTATATCCATTCTTCTGATTTTCTAGTTCAACCTGAAGAATAATTTGCCTCTCACCAGCATTTTTAAAACAAGTAGAAAACAAGTAGAAATCAGTTCAAAGTCTTAGGAAAGAATTATATTTGCGGACAGCAACATATCATCCTCATACAGTATTTTAATGCACTGCTGCTCTAGTCTTTTTCTTTATTTCTTGCTATTTCATTCACAACTTCATTAAACACTTTCTTCCTTGCATTAATTCTGATTGACAAAAAGCTGCACATATTTAATCTACTCAACTCCATGAGTCTGGGGATGAGAACACACCCATTAAACTGTCCCCACATAAGTGCGCCTCCAGGTGAGGTCCCCTCCAGCCCCCTTCATCCTTAGCGTTCTTTTCCTTTTCTCCTTTTCCCTCCGTGGTTTCTTGGAGGTGCTCTTCTTCTCCCTATCTCTAAGATGGCGCTGCTGGCCCAGCACTCAGCTCCTATGCCCTTGGGCCTCCTAGCATCAGCCTCCTCTCTTCCCACCAGGGTGCCCCCCCCACATACACCTGTGTTGAATGTGCCCAGGAGACAGACACTGCAGCTGCCTGGAAATGCACAGCCTGTTCCCTGCTTCAGCATCATGGCAGTGTGGCACTTCAGGACTAATTAGGGAGGTGGGCGGAGGAAGAGGGGTGCCATCTCTTGCAGGGATTGGATTTTAAAGAGGGCTTGAGATTTGGAAGCCACAGCGTGTCAGATTGCTCTCTTAAAGCCTGGGCACTGTCTATAAGATCCATTTGTTGTTTCCTGGTTGAGAATCTTATAGTGAGTGGCCTCAGAGTGCACAAGCCCATTCTATAAATGACATTCAGGGCAGAGAGATGGTCCTAGGAAGGGCTGCAGTGTCAGACATGGAACCATCCAGGGTGTCCCTACACATAACCCACAGTACCATCTGGACTCCGTTCCTATCCCCAGTGCTACCTCTGTGTCACTGTTTCTCTCAGTCACCTTTTCTTTGGTTGAACTGAGCATAGTTCTGTCCAAGATGTGTGTTCACAAATGCTGGGGCTCTGCCTGTGCACAACCAGGATTTGACAGGTAGTCTCTTGGGCATGGTACTGTCCAGCCTAGACCTGAAATGATTATTGCTGTAGTAGTGACCGCTTGGAATGCTTGCTAGTGGTCAGTGATGAGATTCGGTGATTCCAACCCCCTCCCCTGACCCTGCTTTAGCTGGCCATCTGACATTCCATTCCGCGTACAAAGTTGGAACATTCTGTTTGTAACTCTCCAGTTTTAAAAGCATCTTTTCAAATATCAAAGTCTTGGCTCCCTTGGTTAAGTCATGCCCCCACCCTCCTTTAAAACACTGCTTTCAAATAATATTCTAGGAACACCCTTGGGCTGTTCAGTCATTCCAGTAATTCAAGCAGTGTTTTTGTGTACTTCCTCATTTGTTATGGATGCCACGCTTCCCTGTAGGCACAGATGTGTATTATATGCCTGTTTCCTGTGTATTATTGCATTTTCTCCCCTCTTCATTCTCACACACACACACACACACACACACACACTATGGTTTTTTTGTTGTGTGTGTTTTTCTTGATCTGACCTCTCCATTGGATAATGAACTCCTCATAGCCAAGATATGGCTCTGCTTCATCTCCAGTCCTTGGGGGACCCAGCTGTGCATCTCAGGGTATCTATTTAAGAGCTTCAGACGCAAGCATTCTCCGCTGCCTAACTGGGAAGTAAAAGCCAGTGATCTCTGTTTTTCAGGTTCTGTTTCTCCATCTACAATCAAACTGATGAAATTTCACGTATTTGGAAATGTTGTGAACCAGCTGAACATTCCAGAATTTGTAGCACGAGCCCACTGCATTTCGCAGAAAACCATCAGCCAAGGAAAGCGGTTGCATTCTGCCATGGCTCACTCTCCTAACAGAAAATACACACACACACAGAGAAAGAGTAATCAAAATTCACTTGAGCAGGACCCACCACACCAGGTGGAAATATACCTGTGTTCCAGTGACTGTCTTTTATTTACCTTTTCTAAAATTCTACTGGGAACACTTTATTTTTTTTTGTCTTTTTTTCATATTTTTAAAAAATATCTCTGGAGCTTAAGCCCTAATTCTTTGTGACATTTGCTCTTCTTTTTTTTCATGACCATGGATAAACTACCGAAGAGAGTAAACTATGCTGCTGTGTGATGACTGGCAGCTACTTTTATATGAAGAAGTTCATGGTTCAGAATGGCATTCAGGTGGGGCAAAGCCAGGTGCTCAGCTTCTCTAATTAAACTGAATATACACTTCATTACATCTGGAAGTTACTTTCCCTTGGAGTCAAGATGATGCTAATGTTGAAAAATTGTCTGAGTTTATTTTATCTTGAAAACAAACATTGATTCAGTAAGATGCTCATTTATGCCAGAGGCCCAAACTGTCACTCATCCTAAGAAGAGATCTCAGTTTTCAGGTAGATGTGGCCTTGCTGTGACCCACTGCCTGCACCGAGTACTTCAGCATCTCAAGGAACTACCCTTAACACCAGGAATCCAAGAAGGAAATGATATGTATTTCCCTTTTCTTATTAACTCTGGGATGCAAAAATTGTACAACTTATTCATTTTTTGCCTGGCTAAATATAAAGAAAAAATTAAACCAAATGTATAATCAGGAAAAGTAAAACGATGTTCCTAAAAGTTAAATTGACAAAGGAAAGAAAATGGTAGGCCAGGAACCAAAGGCAAGATAACCCCCAAAATTGAGGGAGTGTATAACTGAAAACAGACTTGAACCGGCCCAGAAGTAGTTTGTATTGGATGAGGAGGATTGACATGGAGTGATCTCAGCAAGAGTTGTGTTTGTAGTTTTTCATGAAATGATCCTCCTACTCCTGTAAGGCCAGATGATCTACAACTTGAGTCTTGTTATCCGTCCCTGCCCCATTAGAACACGCCTGGGCCATCACCTCATGTGTATACAGGTGCGGGGCTATGACACAGGCCTCTGAGTGGTTCCCAGAGGCTTTGCTGTAGTATGAAGACTAGCTGGACAGACACCTGTGGCACTGCCCTGTCCTCACCACTGGAGTTTGTTTTAGAACATAATGTTCAGGATGTTATTCAAGCTGGGCTCTGAAAAGAATCATTACACTGGAATATTTCTGGATAATGATGAATGATTTACTAACAATAAAGTATTTCAAAATTGGTGCCAAAGACTTACTGGGTGAAGGAAGTTGATGTTCTTTCCCCTTCATTTCCCCATCATTATCCCACTTCAGAGTGATGATGCTATTAGAGCACCTTAAGATTCACAGACAGTTGGATTGGTCAGATCAACGTTTCAAAAGTTGAGACAGTTTTTATGAAGAACAAAGTATTCTTTGCAGCCAAAGGGCTTGAAGTTCAAGTCCTTTCATTCACCAGCTGCGTGAGTCAGGCTTGTTATGATCCTCTCAGAGCCTTGGCGTCCTTGCCTGAGAAGAGGGTATGATGAGCCTGAAGTCTCCAAGCAAGTGTGTGAAGAGTAGCCCCAAAGTAGGTCCAGAAAAGTGTCCAAGGGCAGGAGGTTTCCAGTCTCATAGTTCCCTCCTCCCGCAGTCCCCCAAACCCCTCTTCAGAATGCTTTGTATATAAGAGCTGTGGGCTTTGGGTCAAAAGGAGGGCAAGAGTTCCCCTGAGCTTTTTTAAATTAGAAAACCCTTTTCCTCAAGTTTTTATCAAGCACAGAGAAATGTTCTCCTTTTTATAGCTGCCATCTCTAACTCCTAAGTAGAGAAATGTAACTGCTCTCATCCCCCGCACCCCCATCCCCCCAAAAAAAAAACCCAAAAGACTTTTTGACCTTGCCAGATAATGGAGACAAAAAGTTCTTTTTCTATTATTTCTTTTTTTTCAACTTAAATCACTCACTTCTTTTCTTGACCACAAGTTCCTCATTCTCTTAATATCAGTTTAACCATTACAGGAATTTTAATAATAGTTCTCATAATTAGGTTTCCTGGAAGCCATTAAAAAATCTCACCTAAAGTTCTGTAAATTGCATTGAAAGTCTAATTCTGCGGTCATAACATATCGGGGGGGGTCAGTAATGCCCAAGTTGTCTTAAACAGAAATTTGCAGACATTGGTGTATCATTTGTGAAGTTCAGATGTAGGTTAAGGAGTCTAAGTTGTGCAAATTGATCTCCTGAGTTGGTGAGAGGCTGGGAGTTAGAAGGGCAGAGAGCACAGAGAACGTGATTGGTGCCATTTGCCAAGTTAGAGGCTGGAAATAGCCCTACTTCTAGAATATTCCGGAGGCCAGATTTGAGGGGTGGAGAAAAGGAAGATAGATGTTCAGGGTCCACAGGTCACCTTCCCCACAGCCTCCCACTCCTTGCAGCTCTCAGTGCTCCTGTGACAGGCTTGTGGCAGGGTTGCTGAGGCCTCCCGTCAGCATCCAGGAAGCCGAGGCAGGGGCACCGAGGTGGCGGGAGGACAGCAGAGAGAGCTCTGCACATCTGGGAGGCAGAGCGAGGGTGCACTCCTGATCAGGAGGGCGCTTGGAATGGCCTTTTCTGAGCCCAGGGGAAAGAAGGCCTGGGTTCCTTTTTGGTGTTCTGATGCTCTTCCTCCTGGAAAAGCTGAGGTGACCTGATGTTGACCTGATGTTGGTGGCCTGTTTCCAGCACCCGTTGGGGTGAATGAATTATTACGCCCTGGGGCCCAAATCTGAGAGAGCAGTGAGAAGACCCATGAGCACCTGATGACCTGTCCTTCTCTCCCTCACTAGATGAATTCTCAGGCCTGGACACAGAAATGCCCACAGAAGAGGCCTACGTCGTTTACGATGAAGGTACAGGCTGATTCCCTAGACACATGGACACTTGCCTTCCCCATCCCATAATCTGGTTTTAATTTCCGTGATCTCCTTGGCAATTTCCCTCAGGGCCAGCCCTGGGAAGGTGGTTGCAGCCCCGACCCTTTCCAAGTGACCCCAAATGCCTATTTGATCTAAAGAAGAACAGCATGCTCGATATGCAAATGCCCCTGCCAAATAAGTCCTCTGAGCCTCCTCTTCTCTCCCTTCAAATCCTCTTTCCCTTTAAGAAATTTTGGAGCTGCTGTGCCCAGCCTTCCCCACTCACTTAAAACCCCGTGGTTTGACCTGTGTCGAGCCTTCTCTTTTGGCCTTTCTTTCTCTCACTTTCCTCTCCTTTCATTTCTTAATCACATCATGCTGTATATGTGTTGATTTCTTATCAAAGAATCTTTACAAGTGAGGGTAAGATTGAAAATACAAAATGCCTTGGACAGTACCTGAACAGTCTCTGGATAAATCACAACTAATGCCATAATTGTTCTTAGGCTTCTGGGATTGTCTCCTGGGTTGAGGAAGTTGTCTCTGCAGCTGAGAAGTTCAGGAAATTTGTCCCCACCCCATGCTGAACTTTGACATCTGGGCTCCGCGGGTTCTCATAATGGGTCTCACCTTGCATGTCATCGCCCATAGCCCCAGTGGTTTTAACTCAAAACTGTGTGTGAATCATGTCACCTCTGATGCTTTATTTATTCATAATAAAGTGTAAGGTAGTGACCAAATCCCACTACAATTTTCAAACAAACAAACAAAAAACTTAAAGGCTGTTAGAAAGCAAAGGAAAGGGGCTGGAGAGATAGCTCAGCTAGTAGAGCGCTTACCTTGCATGTGTAAGGACCTGGGTTCAATCCCCAGCACCACAAAAAACCAAACAAACAAAAAGAAAGCAAAGGGAGACTCCTTAGCACCTTTGGAAGTACTAAGTGTCTTTCTTATTGACTGAGTAGGTGAAGTGTGGGGGAAGGGTTATATTTTCTTTTTAAAATATCAAAAGATGAGTTATCTGAATGGCATTAATTTCACCCTGCTCCCTGGAGGGGGAAGTCCATATACAGAAGTCATATTTAAAAAAAATTCACATTTATCTTCTGATGTGGTATTTTATTGGCTCTAGCTGGAAAAGATGCAGGTGGGTGACAGCTGTGGGCAGGTAACAGGAGCGTGCCAAGCTGGTTGAATGAGTTACGGGGTCTCTCCAGCTCTGATACTAAAACCTCAATTTTTTGGCCTATGTATTTTTTTCTTTTTCTTCCTCTGTTTTTATCTGAAGGTGATTTTCTGAGGAAATTGAAATGAGGAGAGAGGGTTTCTTAGTGGAAACAAATTATGTTTAAGCAGAGCAACCATTTTAGATGGCGTGCAGGTGCACAGATGCACACACTCAGCATTTACAGTTGACAGCAAACAGTGCCCCTTACCGGAGGTGCCCAATTACAAAGCCTTCAAATCCTTTCAGATTATGAGATTGAGACCACAAGGCCACCGGCAACCACCCAGCCCTCGGCCACCACCCAGCCCTCGGCCACCACCCAGCCCTCGACCACCGCTGCCATACCAAAGGTCATCCCAGAGGAAGGCCCCATCAGGTCCTTTCCTGAGGAAGAATTTGATGTGGCCGGACAGAAACGATTTGTTGGTAAATATAACTTCCTTAATCTGAGAAGCATGGTTTTTAACTTTTGCCCTTTGAAGAAGAGTGGAACTAATCTCTGGGCTTGGCCAAGTCAGTGCATTTTGAGAAGTTTTCCCGAAGCAAAGTTTCCACTGGGGTAACTTAGGGAGTCGGTTCTGTTTACATGCATGTGAATTTGCTTTCTGCAAAATTTAGAAGAGAAGAAGTGGGGGGAACAGTTGGGAGCCCAACTGAGAGGGTTTAGGAGGCTTCTCTGTGTAGACCAAGAGGGAGCAACACTTACAAATCACCAGGACCAGGGAGCATCACATATTTAAGGTAGTGGGACAAGATTTCCCACTAGGCCTTGTCTGCACATTATTTGTTTGTTCAATTCTTCCTGAAAGGTTGCAGCTCACTGAATGCAGCCACTGGCTTGATAATATCACAGAACCAAAGCTGTTTTTCTTATTTTCTATAATTTTCATTAGCCTTGAGGAGTTGGGATCTAGAAATTCCTTTTTTCTCTTCTTTCTCAGTAATTAAAACAATTTCAACGGGCAATTCTACGTTGCTAAGCTGTGTCTCATTCTCCTCCAAGACTTCTTTTCCCATGCCCTTAATGAACTTCCCTGATGAGACAGTTGGATTAACATGTTACTAAGTGGAGACAAGCAACAGCTTAAATTAATATCACACTTCCCTGTTTCCAAAACAAGTGCTCTGCCATGAGCAGAGAACATGCCTTGCCAGCCAAGATGTGGTGGCCGGGTGTCTAAGCTGTGTGTACTTGAAGAGCGAGGACATCCATGTGAGGTAGCATTCCTGAGGCCAAGGCCAGTGCCGACTTTGCCCTGCAGTTCCATGGCAGAAAGGAACCTGCACTCAGGGCTGTTATCAGCTCTGCCTCAGAGCTCTTCTGGAGACTGAAAGGCTGACTATTGTCTGGCTGTTTTCTCATGTCTGTACCTCTGTAAAGCAGAATAGCCCACTCCCTGACACTTCCTGGTGAGATCCACAGACAGGCCCAGAAGGCCCCAGGAGAGTGGAGGGAATGAACGGTGGTGAGTGAATGCTGGTTAACTGTAGGTGGCCCGACTCACATTTCTCCAAGTGTTTGGGCATAGAAATGGCAGAATGCCACAGGCTTGTATGACATTGAATTATGGCCTGGGGATCTTTCAAAATCATTTTGAGGTCATCGTCATCAATGCTGGTGGGGCAGTAGAGCCTTTGCAACCTCCAGACTGACAACTACAAGCCCCTGGGTCCATTAAGGAGAGCGAGGGGTGTGCTTTTGAGTTTGGCTTCGGGACTGAGGGCTTGGAAGCCTCTGTCTGGCAGGAGAGATGGAGTTGGGTCTGATTCCATGGAGCAGACACTGCATTTCTGCTTCCAGAAAAAGCCTTCAGCAACCCAACCGGGTATCTCTGCTCTTTTCCAGCTCCTTATGTGACGTACCTGAGTAAAGATCCATCAGCCCCGTGCTCGCTGACTGATGCTCTGGATCATTTCCAAGTGGAGAGCCTGGATGAAATTATTCCAAACGACCTGAGGAAGAACGACCTGCCTCCTCAGCATGCACCCCGCAACATCACGGTGGTCGCCATGGAAGGCTGCCACTCTTTTGTCATCGTGGACTGGGACAAAGCCACCCCTGGAGATGTGGTAACAGGTGTGTCCTAGGCACATGCTGGGAGTGACACTGATTTATAGGTGGGAAATACAGACAGTAAGGGGTGCATAGATGAGGGGACAGATGCACAGACGGATGTTTTCCTTCAATGCAATATAGGCCACGATGAAGCCTCGTGGGGTGGAACAGAGAACACTGGGTGGAAGTCAGAGTCCTGAGTCCTAGTGCTGGGTTGGTTTACGTGACCTTGAGCTAGCTGCTTTATCTCCCTGGATCTTGATTTTCTTACCTGCAAAGCATTATGTCTCCAAAATTCTATAATCCTGCAAATGGCCAGCAAGCTATTTGTGAGACCAGACCCTCCAATAAGGATGATGAAGATGCTGCTCCTAAAATGCAACTCTGCCTCTCACCCTCTTTCCATGCCTGCTGGCTTCTTCCAGATCATCTGGGGTGATTCGCAGTTCTTATGTGGGAACTGGGCAAGTTCTGAAAGCCTTTGAGATGTTCGTGAGTCCTGCCAAGAATGCACTTGAAGATAAATCTTTTGAATTAAGTTCTTACAAATATAAAAATAATATTTCCCTTAACTATTTGTCTCCTTTGCACATGATGCCTCTGGGCCTGTGAGCCCAGAGGAGGAGGGCATTGGCATGCAGCTGTGTGTGCATCTTGGATGGGTGGAGGCGGTGCCAGAAGTTGAAGCTTGACATCTGTCACTCTTAGGCTAGTGTCTTTCACGTGATTCTAAATTTCTAATGCATTTTCTGTAGGTCATCAGTGTTATCTTTTGAAATGAGAAAAAAAAATGTGCAAGAAAATCCAAAGAGCGATTTCTCTTGGGGGATGTGCACAGGGGCCCAAAAGCCACAGTAAGGGATACAGGAGATAATGCCCCTGGAGATTTCTGCCAGGTGTAGCTGAAGGGTTGAGGGTGCAAGGAGGGTGCAGGGTTAAGAAGTTTGGGTGTAACTAATAGTGCTGTTCACTCCAGCGTGTGCTGAGACCATTTCTGTGAAGTAAAGCATTTTCCTAGCAGAAAGCAAATAAATCAACAGAAGGATGAGATTTTAGAATCAAAACAGCCAGACAGTGATTTTATTAATTGAATATGGCTTTATGAATGGCAATTTTTTTTTTAAGTAAGCAAGTAAACATACAGAAAAGATAATTGAAAAATCTTATTTTAAGCAATTTAGCTTTGACCTCTTGCTTACTTCAGGTAAACACTAGTGAGCTCTGAACCACTTGCTTCTAAGAATCATCGGTTGCAGGATGAGAGCATTGGCCACATCAAAGGTGCCACAAGGGCTCTTGTGGTGAAGAAGAGGCCTCAGGGAATTCCCAGCAAATGTCTCTGGGACTTGACCCAGACTGGATTCCTGAATTGCCCCATAGGGGCTGAGTCTCCTGTTGCCTTTGGCAGAAGAAGTCACTGTCACACATTCCACACTCCCCAAAGCTCCTGAGAGACTCAGTGTCCTCCCCTAACCTACTCCTAACCCCAAACGATGCCAGGGTGCCCCAGTTCTGATGGCTCATGATGTTAGCATAAGTGACAGAGCTGAAGTGTTTGTGGGGATCTGGGCACAGAGCAGTTTGGTGCCTGGCACCCCTGAACTATGGAGGGAAAACAGCAGGTCCCAGAAGGCTCACAGAGAGCAGGAGCCCTGCAGCAGTGAGCCCGGCACTGGCCCGTCCACCTGCAGAACAAAGAAGCCAAGCAGATGCCTACATAAGGCCCCAAATACCCAGAGCATCCCATGACTGGGACCCGCTGCAGGGCTTCTGGACTCTCGTGGGGACGTGGGGTTAGGGGGCAGGGCTGATTTTCACTTTCCACCCTTGTTTCATAAGCAGCCGAGTCACTATGTAATAAGGTGGCATCCAAACAACAGGAAATCCCCAAGAGTCAACATGCCCACCGCCAGTCACTTCCCCAAGTCCCTTTGACAGGAATTGCTGTGTTAGGAGCCATTCCATGGAGATCCCAACATGATGACCTCAGCTTTTCAGGACCTGCTCATCAAACTTCTGTAACTGGTTTAGTCTAGAACAACAGAGAAATGAGGAGGTACACTGTGCTCAGCTGATATGTTAGCAAAACCCTGAAGACTCAAAATAAAGACAGGAGGATCTTCAGGGACCAGCACCCCACAGGGGAAGCCAGAGATGAAGGCGAGCAAGCTCTGCTGACCCCTGTCAGAACCTAGTGTCTAAGGCACACACATGACTCTGGATCCACCCCTGGGAGGGTCACTCTTATATGTAAGACCCCTCCAAGCACCTGTGTCTTGACTCCACTCTCATCAGAGAAAGAGGGTGTTTAATGGAGAGAGCAGCAATGGTTGTCAGTCGGCTTTCCAGACAATCACAAAATACCTGAGATAATTACCTTACAAAGAGAAAAGTCTTGGTTCATGGTTTCGGTGTTTCCACTCCAAGATTAGGCGGACCACTGCTTTGGGCCTCTCCTGGGGTGTTGGATGGCAGTGGCAGAGAGTGCCTCACAGAACACACTGCTCACCCATGACCAGGAAGCCAGAGAGAGAAAGTCGGAAGGCTCCCTGCAGTCCGGGGTCTCTCGGCCACACACCCGCATCCAGCACTCATGCCTACATGCTTCATTTCGTGTGAAGGGTGCTGTGCATGTCTCTACCAGGACATTTTAAAATGCTTTGTGAGGTATTTCTTTGGTGGTTCTGGGAATTGAACCTGGGGCCTCACACAGGGTAGGCAAGGCCTCTATCACTGAGTTATATCCCTGGTGTCCCCTACTTTTCTTTAATTTGTGGCAAGATCTTGCTACATTGCTCAGGCTGGCCACAAACTTGCAATCCTCCTGCCTCAGCCTCCCAGGCAGCTGGGACGACAGGTGTGTGCCACTGCACCGGGGTGAGCTCACTACTTTCATCTCCTGCTTCTTTTTTTCTTTGTGCAGTCAAGACTAGATGTAATTATTTCAAGAAGCTGAGGAAGGCCAGGGACTGGGAGGAAATAGAGAAGTATGGAGCCAGCAAGGCACAGGGAGGGCCTTCATTTTGCTGTTCCCGTCTGGATTCACCAGAAGGTGTCACAGTTATGTCCTGTCCTGACCCCAGCGTGGCTTGCTGTCCTCGAAGTTCCCCACAAAGCTGTATGGATCGCCTCCTCCCTGACACACCTCTGGTGTGACTTAGTTCCTCCATGCTCACCGGGTTCTTCCTGTCCCCATTCCCAGGGTACTTGGTCTACAGCGCATCCTATGAAGACTTCATCAGGAACAAGTGGTCCACTCAGGCTTCCTCTGTGACTCACTTGCCCATTGAGAACCTGAAGCCAAACACAAGGTATGATGTGTCAGCCACACAGAAGCAGAAAGGAGGTCCGTGCACAGGGTCACATGTGTCCTGTGGTTGAAAACAAAAAAGGAAATGGTTAATCATGATATTTTTATGACCGTATTGAATTCTGTGTTTCGTTCTCACTGAACGTCAATCAGTGCTTACCAGGGTGCCGTATCTTTTTTCAGAAGTTACTGTGTATATTGTAATTGTTAGGTTATTGGGTTTGTATTTTGTTCCCTATTTTCCTAAACACCACCTGTCATTAGAGAAAGAAAGGGTGTTCTGTGTGTCAAAGGGGAATCCAGTTTTTCTCAGTGTCGTGGCCTTAGGAGCACAACCCTCAGCTGACATCAGGTGGAGCAGCAATTGATAAATACTGTGGTTAACTTGTGCTCAGACTCTATGATGTAGAAGTTGAGACCATTCTAGGAAGAAGCATTGACATGAGTGAAGGTTACAAGGACCTCTTCATAAAACTGGGGGATGGCTGGAGAGTCAGAGCACCATTCTGGAAGCCCAAGTTTATAGCACCGAGGGAAATGGGCACAGTGGGTTGCCAGGGTACAAGGAGATTGGATAATCTCATTCATTTCCCTCTTGTACTACCTGGTTTTGGTGGTCATGATCAACAGAATGCTTCTCTGGTGGGTGCACATGCATGAAGGAGCAAGCATGTGCTGTCAAGGGGTGATGTGCTGGTAAAGTAGCTATCTGGGGGGAAATACCCCTGGTTTATGCATCCTCCAATTTCTGTGGTGTAGACGCTCCTACCCTGACCAACTTCCAGCTGTCAGGGGCCCTAAACAGTTAATGAGGGGCTCCCACAGGCCAGAACAAATGTCTAGGGCACAGCACAGCACTGCGGTGTGGAGCCAGTGGGTTTAACAAACTCAGACGGCATGAATGCAGATCTGGGCTCCCTCCCGTCGCTAACAGAGAGAAGACTGGAGCAAAAGGCTCATTAAACAGACCTGCGCTGCAGAGATTAGAAGGTGGACAATATCCATGGGCACTGAGAGGCTTCTGAACTAGCAGAGAACTTTCCTCAGGACATCTTAATGTGCCTTTTGGGCTCACTTGAACTGAGCTTCCATAAACCATGATGCATTTCAGGGTTTGGCAAGTAAAAACCAAGTAGTAAAGCAGAAAGCCGAAAAAGCACTTTTCTTGAACTTTCCCTGATAGTAACGAGAAATTGGTTAACTAGGGAAAACAAAGCCAGCAGAGTTAGAGACAATGGGGTGAACATCTTTTTTATGGTGTGCAGAGTGACAGTGCTTATACAGCCCGGTCACCAAATCTGACACCGTCCAGATGTTTTGCCCCAGAGCCACTTGCCATGGAACTGGCCCCCCCCGTCTCCGGGTCCCACTCAAGTCCAGTGTTGTTCACAACTCCTGCTGCCATACTGAAGTGGAGTTTTTAATGATGTCAGGAGGTGGTTACGGAGCATGATGGGTTATTCATTCTTTCAACAAGCATTTCCCAGAGTCCATGCATCAAGCTCTTCCTGTGTGTTTGCTTTGGGCGAGACCACCAAATTAGGAAGGCAGGAGCTTGGGGTGGGGTTAGGACGCTCATGACCCTCATGGACCTTCCAGTCCTGTCCTCGTGAACATCTAGTCTGGTGGGGAAGTCAGATTTTTTTCAACAACGAGCGTTTGTCTCAGGATGCCGTCAGGTGAGTTGAGGAGGCAGTCAGGTAAGCTTCCGTGCAGAAGGTAGATGTACAAAAGGGGAAGCAGTTGAGCTGGAGAAAAAGTGAGTGGGTGAGGGCAATTGCTGAGGCAGCAGGAAGCCCCGAGGCAGTGTTCTGGGGAGAGGGGAGGCTTGAGAGGAGGTGGAGCAGGGGGGGAAGAGGTTGCACAGACAGTGCAGGGCTCCCCGTGCGGGTGCCCGAGGACAGACTGCGGCCCTGCCTCTTCCCCTCCACCCCAGGTGTAGGTTCTTCGCTCCTCGGGTGGAGGGTGCTGGCGGGAGGCAGTACCCAGCTCACCCTCCACCACTTCCCCCAGAGCCTCTGGAGCAGCCGCTGATTTCTGCAGCTAGAGGGTGATGTGGCATGAGCACACTTATTGTCCCGCATCACACAAGCTGGGGCTCCGCGGAGTCGGGTGTGGTCCTGGTGTGCAACCCACAGAGAGACGTTGTCCCAGTCCCTGGGGAAACCTGCCTCCGAGTCACCATGGGAGAGACAAGAAGTTAGCCCCTCACAAGTGGAGCCAGATTCCACCTAGGAGGGTCGGTCAGTCAGCTTTTCATTGCGGTGATCCAAATGCCTGAGAAAAACAGCTTCAAGACAGGAAGCAGAGGGAGAAGAAGAAAGGGGGGAGGACAAGACACACCCTACCAGGTGCACCCTGTGACCTGTTCCTCCCTTGGGCCTGGCTGCCTATGTTTTCCACCACCTCCCAATAATGTCATCAAATCATGAATCCATCCATGTGGATTAATCCATTGAAGACATCAGAGCCCTCATGATCCAGTTACGTACTGGAAGCCCCACTCTGAACATTGCTGCACTGGGCACCAAGCCTTCAACACATGAGTCTTTGGGGACATGCCAAATCCAAACCATAACCGGGGGAAACATTTGATCCTTGTCTTTCTGAGTCTGGCTTGACATGATCTCCGGTTCCATCCATTTTCCTGCAAATGGGATGGTTCTGCTCTTTATGGCTCACTAATGCTCCATTGCTTACATATACCACATTTTCTTTATCCATTCATCTGTTGATGGACACTGAGGCTGACTCTACAACTTGGCTATTGTGAATTATGCCATGATAAACGTGGGGGTGCAGTGTTACTTTAATTCCCTTGGGTATTTACCCAGGAGTGGTACAGCTGGATCACAAACTGTACTTCTATTTTTAGTTTCCTGAGGAACCTTCATACTGATTTCCATAGTGGCTGCACTGATATACATTCTTATAAAAAATATATAAGGGTTCCTTTCCCCCAGAATCTTCACCAGCATTTATTGTGCTTTGTATTCTCGATGTAAGCCATTGTGACTGGCCGTTAGAGAAGAGAGAGAGAGGAGCAAAGGGAAAGGAGGGTGGGGAAAGAGAGGGCCATGGTGTGGACATGATCAAAGCATATCATTTGCATGTAAAATATGCCACAGTGAAACCCGTTACTCTCTATAATTAAAATGCAATAGTAATAATAGAAGCCAGAGCCTCATCATCAGCTTTGGTTGTTTATAAACTGGATCTTGTTTTTGATTTGAAGTGACCACAATCTACTCTGTTGACTACACTCAGCCCCAGTTACTCTTTGGAGGCTGCATATTTTAAATCCCTTCTTACAGTACAAAGATTTGTCACCAGTGAGGCTATTCAAAAGAGGTGCCAAAACTTACATAAGAAGGAGAGGCTTGGGCTGCTTTTGTTGCTTGGATGAGGCAGAGACTATTATTTGGAGTATGAAATAAATATTTTAGTTGGTAGAAAAAGTTTAATGTGGTTTTCAAAAATGGAAATTTTACTTTTCCCCCCAATTTCTTGTTGTTTTCCAGCTCAACATGTTTCCATTTACTTTGACTCAGTAGTGAAATTCATATGGAAATGTCTTTGGACTTGGCACATGAGGGAGGGTAGACTTGGACAGCCCTTGGGTTTCAGTGGTAAAACAAAATTGATGTCAACAAGTGACAGTCCTCTAGCATGTTAGTTGTTCCTCCAGTTGCATGAGGAGCTTGGAACAGGGTATTAGGAGGGATCCAGCAAGGGCTTACAGAGTTATTCATCAGAAATGCTCCTTGTAGCTGCTGAACGTCTCTTTCCTTGTGTTTAATTCCTTTCTTTGAGGATAAAACAATCTGTGAAATTTGCCCAGGATCACTGATGTATGCCAAGCTTGAACTGCTGCAGGGTTCTGCCCTAAATCCTTCGGTGACTGCTGGATAGGGGTGTGCATGCTGGGAAGACACACTGCAGGGCGGATTGAGATTTTAGAAAAATATGTTCTTAAAAATATGTTCTTTTTTTTAAAGAATTGAAATTTAGAAATGAATACACCTAAATGAGTTGTGAATGACTTAAGAAGACTAATTTTACCAAATGGCTTTTCTCTGCTGGTTAGTCAAACCACAGGAAAATATGCACTTGTACTGTGAGGTGAGGGGCCGCCCTAAGTCTCTGCTGTCCCACCACACAGCAGGCAGGCTTGCTCTCGGGCAGCTGGCAGGTGTGACAGGCCTTGAATGTAAACAATATATCTTTCAAAACTTGAGTGCATTTGAGTTAGTACATGTGCTCTGTGTGCCTGACAAGATAAAGAATTTTGGAACACTTCAGAGTGACCTTCTTGCTGGCTAAAAGTCAGAGAAACAGACTCTCCAGGGTGCAGCTAGCCACCACTCGAAGGGATGTTTTATCCCTCTTTTCACCTATAAATGACAGTGAGTTGGGAGAGCCAGAGTGACACCTGGAATCCCAGAAGTGAGGATGTCAAAGACATTAATGTCACAGACATTAAGTCCTGGAGCTAGTCTCCAGGACTTCTCGACCACTGCTTCTTATCTGCTAATCTTCTAAGAGTGACACTTCAATGCCTGGAGACTCAGTCTCCCCAAGATGAACTAGATGACACAGTTAGTGTATATTCCAAAATGAAGCTCGACCCTGCAGCGAAGCCTCTGTCTCTTCCTTTTCCACACCCATAGCCCCTTCCTGGACTTGCTTCTCTTTCCTTGGGTGCAGAAACTCACAGCCGGGTCACTTGTAGCACCATCCGTTCCTGGCTCCAGAGCCACCCCAGCACTCCTCCTGCACCCCAGACATTGTTGTCTTGTTAGTTCTGACTTTTTGCCTCATGACCATTCTGTTCCAATTTACCATGTGTTCACATTAACCGTATGATTTTAAAAAGCTATTAAACATGAGAAAGTTCAGAAAACAAGACAAAGGTCACAAGTGATGTGGACATTCATAAAGATGGGACTTTCCAGGGAGCAGGATTTTAGTTTAGAATCTGCCTCATCATTCAAAAGTCAATTTCTCAAAAGATGTTTTCTTCCGATTTCAGGTACTACTTTAAAGTTCAAGCCAAAAATCCTCACGGCTATGGGCCCATCAGCCCTTCGGTCTCTTTTGTTACAGAATCAGGTATGGGCGACTTCATATTCTCATTTTACTTCTCTTGGAAATGAAATTAAAGATCTAGAACTATGATGACCACAGAGTAAAAAGTAAAGCAGTGAAACCCTTTTCCATTGAATGAGATCATACTGGATTTCCCTTTATAAAGTCAGCACTATTTTTTTTTTCCTGCTATTTTAAAATTTGGAATGAAACTAGAAGTAGTGTTCACTGGTTCTCTGGGGAGCACAAAAGTTGATTTCCAATGAAAGGAAGAAAAAAATCTAGTTTTCAACCAGGTGGGGAAGATAAGTTTGAATCCATGTGTATAAAATGTAGTTTCAGAGTTGTTGGTTTTTTGTGTGTGTGTGTGTGTGTGTGTGTGTGTGTGTGTGTGAGTAGCTGACAAGTGTCTATGCCAGTTGGTCTGAGAGTTGCTTCTCCAGTTAGCCAAGACCCTAAGACCCAGGGTCCTCTCTAAGATCTAAGATGTCTGTTCTTAATATTAAGAGTTAATTAAGGTATAATTAAGGTATTATTCAGTTTCATCAACAATATCACTTTGGAGCATATCCTCACATTTTGGGATGCTAGTGGGCAAAGTTCTCAGGCCTTTCAATAAATGTTCCTGTGGCCTACAGTCTGAGGCCACGCGTGCAGGGATGGCCCACAGTGACCATTCTTGGGTTAGTGACTTCCTTTTTCCATGTGGGAAGCCAAGCTAGAGTTCAGACCAAGCCAGGCTGAGCCAGCTCTGACCCACATCTTCTGGCTGCCATTTGGTTAGATTATTTCCTATGCGTTACTTGATTCCAGAAAATCTGTCTTTAAAAGATATTTTAAGCGTAATGATTTAAAATCTACTGGATCAAAATATGTGGAAAAAATGATCTTTTATGAGAATATGCTTTATGTTGGAAATGTAGGCAAAAGACCTCAAAAGCGTTTTCACTTATTTCACATAGGAAATGTGTTTGCTAATGTAGGGAATGTATACGTGTTCACGCTGCATTTCCTAAGATCAAAGTGGGCCTTTGGGACCAGAATGAATGCAATCAGGTGGATCACGAAAACAATTCAAATCCAAGAAGCTCAGGTCGGAAATGTATCTGAAAGTAGAAAGTGACCTGCTGGGAATGCTATTTCCAGGACTCTAACTAAAGTAACTTCTGAAGGTCCATTCTCTTCTGTCCTCTCTACCCAGCAAAGCTGTGGCCTATCCTTTGTGGCCCTCAAGGGCAGGTGAAGATGAAGGCCTCACCCCAACCTTGAGCCCCAATCTCTGGGGATAGACCTAGGAACCCCATTTCAGTGAGCTCCTGGGAGACCCTAACACACTTGGAGTTTTGAATTATTTGCTCTGGTCATCTTCATTTTATTCAATCTCTATATTTGGGTCTCTTCTTCATTTTGTGCTACCCTACTGAAAATGGTCAGGTTACAACAGGAACATACAAGTAGGTGACGTATGGTATTTGCTGAACATAGTATCCACGAGGTCAGGTGTTGTTGCTGGTGTTCCATATAGTTCCCTATCTTGTCCCAGAATATGTGAGACTTTTGCTATCAGACTGTTGAAACTGAGGAGCTCAAGAGCAGGAGAGCAAAACAAGCCCTTTCCCTTTAAGCTAGGTATGTCAATCTATTTGGTATACAACAGATGATGGCAGAATGAATAGTTTGTACAACGTACAGCACCGGGGAGACTTGGGCATGCCATATTCTTGTGCTGACAGTAGAGGCGGGTTCCGTGAATGTACACATGTGTTGTCATCCATAGGCTGCATCTGCTAAGAGAGCAACTTACTGCATGATAATTTTTTAATAATAAAAAGAATGGTCTGTATCTATCTAGTCCATGGCTAGACTTTTTTCAAAGTAGAATTCCTTAAAAGGCAAATTTCATATTCTCTTAAATGGAACTAATTGGACTAAGGCATAGCTGGGTTTTATGAAGAGCATTACTGGGGTGTAATGGCATACAGTAAGCTGCACACAATTAAGCGGTGCTCCTTAATAAGTTCTGAGTTATATTCATACGCACGATGTCCTCACTACTGTGATGATGATGAGCATGTCCATCACTCCCAACAATTGCCCCTGCTGGGGGGGGGGTACAGCCTCCCACCCTGCCCTCTCACACATAGTATGCGGTTCTTTGGCTTCTTTTTTTCACCATTAGTCATTTTGAGATTCATCCATATCACTGTGTGTATAAGTAGTTCATTCTCTTCTATTACTGATCAGTATCTTATTGTACAGCTAAGCCACGACTCGTTTATGCAATTCCATTAACTGTTGATGATCATTGGGGTTATTTCTATTTTCTGACTCTTGCAAAGATACTATAAACATTCATGTACAAATGTTTGTAAGAATATGTATTTTTAACTTCTTTTGGATAAATGCTTATGAATGGAATGGATAGGCTAGATAGTAGGTATATGTGTACTTTGTTTTAAAAAATACATATATCAAACTGTTTCCAAAGGTAGAGAATGCCATGAGGTCAGGTGTCCATTGTTGGAGTTCCACATAGTTCCCTCTACCTTGTCTCAGGGTATTTGAGACTTTTCTACCAGACTTTTGAAACCAAGTATTGAATTATTTTGTAGGCATTCCAATATCAAAACATTATTTTCAGAGACCCACAACTTTTATGTAAATAAAAGGACAGTTAACTAGAAAAGAGTATTTCTGAAAAGGGAATAATTAGAAAATAAAAAACTAAGGGAAAACTTTGGCATATAATAAGTAACATTTATTTTTTTCTGTATTCCAGTTTGGTTAGCTCTTTCAATTACAATAAATCTTTAAACATTTACACGATTGTGAAACGTGATACAAAGTCAATTATTTCTTTTTCATTCTACAGATAATCCTCTACTTGTTGTGAGGCCACCAGGTAAGTCTCTCTTTCCGAGGATCTTAACCCTATGGTCATCATATTCCCTAACGTGAGATTGCTGTGATCCCTCACAAAGAGAAACGCTGGACCACTTTTGCATTTTAATAATTTTCTGACAACTTCCATCTATCCTTGATCCAGGTCTATGGAAAAGATTGACTTGGAAATGTTTTAAATATGCCCAAACAGTCAATGTATATGAGAAATCATGGAGGAGTAGTCAATATCTATAAAAAAAGATACTCTATTTACACCAGCCCTGGGAATATTGTAGAATGCCAAAAAGATACATACCATGAAGTTTTTCAAACAAACCAAGAAAGCCCTGTTATTAAAGTTCAAGCAGGAGGAGTAGGAGTCAATGCTGAGCGACTTGGGGAAGGATGGTGAGCCCCACAGGATCAAAACGGCCATTGCAGCCAATTTTCCTTGAGGCATAGTCTACCTTTAATTCTGAGAATTTATTGAAATAAAAATACCTTAAATAAATATGATTAGGTAAAAGAACCCCCCAGTTGTACTTTAGTACTTAAAAAGAAGAGGAAAATCCAAAAGGGTGCTTGTTGGGAGGCGGGAAAACCTTGCTCAGAGAAGCCTTGAGGAAGGGAGGGCCCAGTGCATAAGTCCACTTTCCGGATACTCTGCAAGAATAAATGCTGCAAGCTCCCATCACTTAGAGGGTGTACTCTGTGTTGTCAAGGTGGTGAGCCCATCTGGATCCCGTTTGCTTTCAAACATGACCCTGGCTACACCGACTGCCATGGCCGGCAGTACGTGAAGCGGACGTGGTATAGAAAGTTTGTGGGAGTCGTGCTCTGCAATTCGCTGCGGTATAAGATCTATCTCAGTGACAACCTGAAAGGTAGGTCTTTGAGCATGGCTGGCCCTGGCAGGCATGCAGTTTTGATCTTCCCAGGTACTAACTTGACCCAACAGATGTATGGGCATGTGTTGGGGGGTGGACCCTTGTGACCACACCCCCCCCTGCCAGGCTCTAATACAACCAGTGCTGTAGGTTCCACTCTGGGGTCGCTAGATTTTCCAGTGGCATGCAAAAACATATTTTTGAAAATCTACTACACTTGAGGAATGAAGTCCAAAATTCTCTAAAAAATTTTATAAAGCCTATTTTTGTTTGCTATTAATTGGATAATGATAAATGAGGATAAACTGGAAGAATTGAGGAAAGTCCACCTTCCAGGCTCTGCCACAACCACTACTTTTCAAAGAAAAAATGTACTTTTCAAAGAAAAAATCAGCAGTTCTATTTGTTCTGTGTCACAATAAAAATGTTTTTATCATAGTAGGGATCAAAACAAAGAGTGATGTGACGACCCAGAACTACCAGCCCTTCAAAATGCCATCAGTCCCCAGCTAGCTTTGACTCACCACCTACACCAGGCTGGTTATTTTTTTTTTTTTTAACGCACACAACTTTTAATTTTCAATTAAAATTGAAAACTTATAATTTTAGCATATATATATATTACAGAAATTTCTTCAGCTGGTATATATTTTCCACTGGCCAGTTTTTTAATTTTAAATTTTCTTATTAGCAAGGATTATGTAAAGACAGGGTCAAAACAAAGTCTCCCCTTCCATTCCCTGCTCTGCAATTCTGGGTATCCATGTCTCCCCAAAGCAAATACACTCTCTGTGTGCTCTTTGCTTATGTTTCCACCTTTGTCTTCCCCTGCCTCAGAATTGCTAGGAGGGGTTAGTGTGTCCCAGGGTGGAGAGATGACTTGGCCTTCCTGTGCTATGTGCTTCAGCACCACGGACAGCGTCCCATGCTGCCCTGGGGTCCCCTCCTCCCAGATATGTGGGAGGTCAGGTTCTCCTATTCAAATACACTAATTATTCAAAAGTGATTCTCTACCGCAGTTTTCTTCATTCCTTTTAAAACAATAAGGCATAAAAGTTCTCTCATTTATATGTTAAACTCTAGATTGCTCATAGTTTCCCCCTACTGAACATCGTTAAGTATTCAGTGTGTGATCTTGCTGAATCTTTATGAACTTCCCGAGGTTGGTGCCACTATCACCATTTTTTTTCAGACATTGGAAGTACAGAACACACAATTTCAATAATGTGCTCAGCTCAAATGGTCTTAAAGCTTGTTCCAGCTCCTTGGCCTGCTGTGACATTCTTTGAGGAGTCCCTGACCTGTTAACTGTTCTTTATGCAGATACATTCTACAGCATCGGAGATAGCTGGGGAAGAGGCGAAGACCATTGCCAGTTTGTGGATTCCCACCTTGATGGAAGAACAGGGCCTCAGTCCTATGTAGAAGCCCTCCCTACCATTCAAGGTAATGGGAACAAATGCTTGTGCCCAGAGGAGAGAAACAGGTTAACAGGAGGAGGAAATTCACTGTAGCTCCACCTTTGATTTGCCATCTGAAGGTGGATGTTGGGAGCACTTGGGATCATAAAAATGAAAATAAGGAACCAAGGAATCAAAATACTCCTACCATGTGCTGGGCATGGGGTGAGCCTTGAAGAGCCAGGGGGTTCAAAGGGATCTGTGAGGCCTCTCTTAGGGACATGCCCTGTAACTGTGAAGAGCAAGCAGGCAAGAAGGTGACTTGGTGAATACCATGCTGATTAGAGAAGGACAGGTTGTGTCACATGATTGTTGTGTGGGCAGCCGAGGTGCCTGTTACAGTCACTGAATTCAAAGGAGGCACCACTTGAGGTGTTAAGAAGGGTTTAGTGTGAGGCAGAGTCTTAAGGACTGGCTGGATGGGTGGAGGGGAGAGCCTTTCAGAGGAGACACACACAGGGGAACGTACAGAGAAGACAAAGGTCAAGTTGCAAGTCCACCAGGACAGGTTTCAGAGGCAGTACAGCTGACATCATGGAGTGAGGATATGTATCATCTCAAAGGTTAGCAACTGGTAACATGTGACTCATTCACTTAGCCTTCCAAGCAAACAAATTAATAGGACAACTAAGTGAAACCCAGCACCTTTCCCCTTATGCATTCAACTCTTCATGTTCTGGCATTTTCAGGGCATGATGGATACTCATCTAACAGGCTCCTTATTCTGAAAAAAAAAATTCATGAATGGGTATATGAATTACCATGTTCAAAGTAACAGGTAAAGAAACACTAAAATCAACGGAACGGTAAAATGAGTGTACCAGGGCTGTCTCACCTAGAGAAATGGAACAATTAGTGTTCATTCATGGAGATTTATTTTGAGGAATCGGTCCACATGGCTGTGGACAATGGCAAGTTCAATGTATCTAGAGTAAGGCAGGCTAGAGGCTCAGGGAGGAGACGGTGTTGCAACTCAAGTCTGAAGGCTGGCTGGGGGCAGAATTCCTTCCCCTTTCCAGAATGGGGGTGATCAGTCATTTTTATTGACTTTCAACTGAGTGGATGAGGACCACCCACGTTATGGAGGTGATCTGTTTTCAATCCCCTGGGATAGATTTTGGCTTATCTAAAAAGTACTTTCATAGAACGCTCTAGAGTCACATTGGATTAAATATGTAGCCTCATCTGGTTGACCATCACAGTAAACATACAAAGTATATCACAATGCACAGTGTTTGAAGTCCTTGTGGTGCCCCAGGGTTACAGTATTCCACTGTTTCTGTGACCATGGTCATGGCATTGGCCCTGGGCATAGGTACTGATTAATCAATGTGCTCCGTGGCAGAGTGGCAAGAGGTCATTTATTTGGCAAGGTCAAGAATGAGAGCAGTTGTTGAGTTTTCCAAAATTTTGATGAGGCTGGAGCACCCCGTCTGCTTGCAGACAGAAGTGTTCAGAATGCTACAGGATCCTTTTCTCTGAGAGATTTCCTGGAAGATCTCAAAGTCTGCCTGGATTCGGAGAATCAAGCCTCGGCGTTTTGAGGCTCTCAGCTCAGTGAGGGTGGGAGGGAGTCTCACCCAGCTCAGGGCCTGCCCTTCCGTGGGTGCTCACTGTTGTCTAAAACCTTCTTCTGTGGAGAGAAAGGGAGGGGATAATAACCACGACTCTCTGCTATCTGCGTTATACACATGTGGGGACCGGGTTATCTCACAAATCATGTTTGGGACCTCAGGCTCTCATCATCCCACCCAAAAGTGGCTTCAGTGATAATACTTGTCATATGAGCCATTCACCAGAGGACTTCTCTTTGAAAGGACATTATAAGGATGAGGATTTTTCCCTTTTGGTTCAGTTGATTTTGACGCATTTTCTGCCCTGCTCTCTCCTGTTGCTTTTGCAGGTTACTATCGCCAGTATCGCCAGGAGCCTGTCAGCTTTGGCCAAATCGGTTTTGGAACCCCCTACTACTATGTGGGCTGGTACGAGTGTGGGGTCTCCATCCCAGGAAAGTGGTGACCCCAGGATCGTCACACTGCAAGTTGACCTGCTCAGCCCCGTTGACTAGTTCTTACCATGGACTGTGAGCAGAAGGATGGAGAAAGACTGTGCCCCAAGCCCAGATGCCCACTGGGTGTCATGGCGGCCACATGATGGACACTGGACATTTTGGTCATCTTCAGTCTGAAACCCAGTCGCACTTCTTGGCCTGGACTCAGTTTTGTGGAAACTTCACTTCTGCACAATTTTTTATCTGTTACAGCAGATCTCAGAGACATCTGAAACCACAGCTGATTCAGGGCGAGTTCCAGGCTCTAGGCACAAAACTCAAACCCTAATGTCTCCAGGGAACAGCGTGAGCATGCTGTGCTTGCTTCATAAAACACTTTCTGTTTTTTCTCATTCTCGACTCCTCCAAAATCAGCTGAATTTAAGCTTCAGGTCTTTTTGTATGCACTAGAACTGAATTACTAAGAATACTGCTAAAGAAAATATATTCTACCTAAGATTTTTTTCTATGGACTTACCTACCACTAGATTAAATGCATCCAATTTTATTTGTAAATTCTCAATTTTGATATATATATATGTATATATGCATATACATATCCACACTTGTCTGCAAAAAATACTGATTAAAATGGCTGAATTTGTACTTGTTCACTTGATAAATGCATGTGGGACTTCTTGGAAAAGGCGTGGTTTATTAACATCTAGAAGTGACCAGGGATGGGTACTCTGCGTAGTGAAATGCCAATGGAGAGGAAGCGGTTCTTCCTGTGGATGGTGCTGGGCTCTGGTGATGAGGAGGAGGCAGAGATGCTGTTGTGAATGAGCGGTGCCCTTGTCTTTGCCAACCAAGTGCCTGTTCTTTCCACACCCAGGTGGAAAACATCTTTGTTGCCTCTGTCGCGGTGCACCTAGTATGTTCCAGACAAATGAGTTTAGATCCCCAAAGATGATTTAGAGTCTTGTTTTTAAAAATTATGCTTCTCTTTCCTTCCTAGCTCATTATCTACTCCTTGAAATAGAAGCATCTTGCCTCTCTTGACTGTGGCATGAGAGGGTTTCTTTAGACACTTTATTCTCATTCTCTTTGAAATATTCTGCCCTTGCCGCTCACTTGGCTCACCCCGTCCCTCAGGCAGTCCTGTGGAGGGACAGATTTGTCTTCTTGCACCAGGCATCAGCCACCAGAGAAGCAGTGGTGGAGATAGCTATAAGCAGACTCTCTCTCATGGGACTGCAGGTCACACCCAGTGGAAGCCCTTGATGGGCACAGCGCAGTCCTGGGGGCTGGGTTGATTATTGTCAGTGACAGCCCTGTGGGGAGGTGAAGCCTGGTAATTCTGAAGGCAAAACTTACAAGGAAACAAGTCATTTTGCAGAGTCTTTGTGATGGGGCTGTGATGGCTGCCATTTTTCTCAGATTTCACTGTCCCCTTTCTGCAGTAAATGACAAGCAAAGAAAAGACAAGCATCTCTCAGCAGGGGAAGGTCCTAGAATTGCTCAGAGAAACAGACCATGTTGACCCCATTTTATTTTGCAAAAGAAGTGGGAATTAAGCAGCTTTGGGGTCTCTGTACATGAAAGGGAGATTATGAAAGAAGGAGGCACCGTCCAACAAATGCGCTTCCTGATGCCAAGCCAGAGATAAGATCTCTAAATATAATTGAACTTTTCTAATAAGCAAACAACTTGCTCCCTTTACCTGTCCCCACTGTCCCCAAATTTCTGTTTGTCCTCAGCATTCACTAGCCTGCTCCTGAGAGCAGAGAGAGATGCCTGAATGGGCCTGCCCTGAGGAGAGCACCAGAGACCACACATTTCCTGAGCATCTTTCCTGGGGGATAAAGAATCCATTAGAGGGCCCAAGAGGGAGACCTTGGGCTGTCCCCAGGCCTGTGTTGGTTTGGGGACAGGCTTTGAAAGAGGTGGTTATTAGGACTCCACCTGAGACTCAGGCAACTTCTCCCAGGCCACTCACACTTTCATATACCAACGGAGTGGTCCTGCCCCTCAAAGGATTTTATGCTTATATTAAAGAAATGTAAGTACTTCACTGGCATTCACTCTCACAATGGTTTTGAGCCCTGCTGGAGACATCTGAGTTGCATTTAATTATAGAAATCTGAAGTTTTATTAAAAATAAACATTTGCAATTTTAGCTGGCAATTACCACGCCCCTCAGATGATAGAGCTGCTAAAACCAAATAAAAATATAAGCAGAGGGATGAAACCAATGGAAGTGTACAGGAAGTGAACCACGCACACATAATACACGTGCGTACATAATGTAGTGTATGTGTGTGTGTATATACATATGACGTGATTCCCAGGAGAATTGGTACACACAATTATAGAGTCAGAAATTCCATGACAGGCTATCTGTCTAAAAGCTGGAGACCCTGGGACACGGGCTCAGTTCAAGTCAGTTCAAGTGCAAAGGCCTCTGAGCCAAGAAAGTCACTGGCGTATCTCTCAGTGTGAGGCTGAAGTCCTGGCAACCCAGAGTGCTGCTGGTGGAAGTCCTGGAGTCCATAGGCCACCACCTCGCACCCCGTGAAGCAGAGAGCTGGCCCACTCTAGAGGTCAGAAGCAGATACAGGTAGAATTTGCAGGGAAAGAAAATATGACCCAATTTGACAAAGAATTTTAGAAGAGTCCAGCCATTATTGGACTGGAGTTCTGGGGTCTGGGCAGAAGAAGATTGTACCCCAGCTCCAGGAGAATGAAAACCAATTTGTCTTTCTGTGTGTGCACATGTGAGTGCTATTGGGGGCTGAACCTCCAGGGGCTCAAGTGTGTTGGTCAAGTGCTCTAATACTGAGTCCTCCTGTTTTGTACTGCCTGGACCCCCTGCTGACTGGATCGTACCTGCCCACATTGAGGACAGATCTTCCCCACTCTGTCCAGACTCACAGGTCAATGTCCTCTGGAAACACCCCCGCATGCATGCCCAGAAGCACTGTTCTACCAGCTCTCTAGATAATCCTTAAGTCATCTTACCATCTAAAATTAACCATCATGGGCAGTACTATTATCAATACTCTGTTCAAATTAAGCTACATAATAGATCAAATGAATCCATGATGATTGAATCAGATTTTAGAACCTCAAATTCTGGAAGTCACATTTTAGGGAGACCACTGGAATCAAGAAGCCAAGAAGCAGGTACTCAAGAGTCTGAAAATAATTGTATCCCCAGTTAGGATAACCTTGACGGGAAGGTGTACCTGAAGAGAGAAAAATTCACCTCTTCACAGCCTGTGAGGAAGGATTGCACATTTCCTGAAAATCTTATAGATTGTCAACTCTATGGGTTGGAAAAGATATGGTAAGAAATTATAGGAAAAGAAAATATGGCTCAATTTGACAAGAACTTCAGAAGAGTCCACCCATTGGAAAATGGTGAGAGATCCATTCCTGTAAAACTTCAGCTATCACTGGGAATGTCTGATCCTGCAGCTCAAGATCTCCATCCTGCTTGAACATGGCCTGTGAACCCAGAATGGTTTCTACATATTGAAAGTGTACAAACAAATCAGACAGAAGAAAGCCATAATATGGATCAGAGGCCACATGTAGTTCTCAAGGCCTAAAATATTTACTATCTGGTCCTTGAAGGAAAAGTGTACATAGCCTCAGACTTGAGTTTTCTAGAGATTCGAAGATGGTTTAAACAAAGCTCTAATTTGAAACCTAGCACATACTGCTTAATATATATTTGTCCACTTAATAGATGTTCTTTTTCTCTTACTTAAATTATATTTATTTTCTGACTATCATCTCCCTGTGCCCAAAACCTGAACTATGCATTCCCCAGTTGGATCCTGGGCTCCCAAGTTTCCCACTTGGCAAGTCCTGGGCTTGTGCTGTGGTCTCAGGAAGTGCTTTGCCCTTTAGGCTGCTTCGTGCATATTTAATATAACCACTTCATTACAGACACAATTTCCAGTGTTTACTAGATGAGTCTTGACTTATACTTTCCTCCTCAACCTACTCAACACACATTTCTGGGTCAGTGCAGGAGGATGGGGAATTTGAGAATGGGAGGAGGAATGAGGTCAGAGTGGATTTGCCTCCTCAGCATGGAAAACAGTTCATAGTCATTGTGGGTAATTCCAGAACAGTTCTATTGATAGGTTCAGCCCGGGTTTCTGTACCTTCTCAATGTCATGGATGCCTTAACATCATTTCCATAAGATGTAACTGATTTGCAATTGGAGTTAAAAAAGTGAGTTTAAAAAGTAACATGTCTTCCCAACCATCCCATGCTCCAATCCTAGATTAGGCTGAGCTCAGAAAAATTGTATATAGACACAGAACTCCCAGTCAGGGAGGGTAAGGAGGTGAATGGCTTGTGTGTAAGTGTCCAGCCATGGGGTCAGGACAGGGGCTGTGCAGGGGTGCTGCTGGGCCTCTGGGGATGCTCTGGCCTCCTTTGCCCACCGAGTCCCTTCTCTCGTTCTCTGTGTGCTTACTGCTGTCTCCTACTGAGCTGGTCTTTCTCCGGGCACGTGGGTCAGATGGCTACCAGAAACTCGTCTACAAACAGGGCTGCCGAGCACAATGGTCCACTGTCCAGCAGCCTCAACTGTGCAGCTGCTGCCTGCAAGACCTGGGGACTCTGATCTCTCAACCAACTTCCCAGAGATTTGGGACGAGGCTTTTGAGTGGGTAACTTGGGTCACACATCTCCACATGGTCCAATCAGCTGTGCCATGGGGGGTGGTTGTTACGTGGACTGAATTGGCTCTGTCCTGTGAGCAGGAGATGATGACTGGCATCTCTCGGACCCATGCAGACCAATGAAAAATGAAACGTTTAGAGGATGAGTCATCGAATTAGGTGACATAATTTGAAAATGACTTCACTTGGGATAAATTGAAGGTTTCATGCTTCTTCAGTAAAAGGCTGCAGTCTCTCTAACTTAGTAGCTTTCCTTCTTAAGTTAAGGGAAGTTTGAGAAACATTTTTGTATTCATAATGAAATCATGGGCTAGATTCCCTCCAC